TGCGTTTGTGCTTTTTCTTATGTTTAAATAGAACACATCTAGACATAGTGCATCCGTTCAGTATAGTATGAGTTTGTTTTGTTTTTATATATGTTTTTATTATGATGGTGTATTACATTTGCGTGATCAGCACGACTTAAATCAATGTATAAAGTTTTTGTAGATAATGTAGGCGCCCATGTTTCCACTAGCCGTAATTGTTGATACATATTTGCTTTAGCCTTGCTGTGGCTAGTTTATGAAAATTATTTACATTAGTGATATTATTTTGTATTTATGGAAAAAATAAACATTTTTTGAAAAAACCATATGAATTTTCTGCCTTAAAACTAATGAATAAACTTAATCTAACTATTTACAATACGTTTAGTAACGTTTAACTATTTTAAAACAAAGATTTTGTGTATTGCTTGGTTGAGAGCCATTTGTGTTTGTATCAAGTAATTAATATGTGATGTGGTAACTTATGTTTCATTTTGAAGGGTGCGTTTGATTTATTGTACTTTCCGAGGTTTTTTAATGTTTGTGGTTCGTGTTGCCGAGGTCCTTCATGGTCAACGGTCACGTCACGAATCTCTTTTGTATAGTATGAGTCCCCGCCCGAATGTTAGTTATATTCTCAAAACTGATTTGCCACTTGCGCGAGCGACTTTTCCGTGATGCGCCATCTAGCGATAAGTCCTGAAGCTCAAAGAGCAAAGTTAGTTAAGCGAGAATTTGATCAGTCTATAAGAAATACTGAGTAAATAACATATGAGTTACGGAAATCATAAATAAAACTCGGCGAACAATGACTCTTTGGTATATATGTCGCGCGCAACATCGTACAACACACGAAAATCTGCGGTGATACGAATTACTAACAAAGTGTTGAATTAGAGTGAACACAGTATCTATGCGATCGTGCAAGCTTATAATTAATGTTCAATATGCATGGTGATGCATCATTTGATTGAATATTGCACTTGATGAATTATTTTAAAATTAAAAAAACGAACTTCTTTATATTTTTATGTATAACAATCTCCATCGATTTCATGTTAATAATAAAGCACGCTTGAACCGTGAAATATTCAATACAATTTCATTTCACAGATAAGAAAATTCACTTTTTTGATATTTAAACAACGATTTCAATATGAACCACCCCAGAATACATTTGTCTGATCGCATAGCCGCGACTTTGAGGCCTCTTTGCAATTTTCAGAAATCTACAGCGCGAAGGGCAGTGCGGTATATATAGCGCGAGCTTTTAAAAAAAAAAAGTAAAGGAAACAACCGCAACAAGGATGATGATCGTGACGGCTGCTGTTTCTCTGGCTATATAAACAAGCCGGAAATCTAAGTTTCTGGTATGCGCGTCGACTGTACGACTCTACGAATGCTCGACTTATTTCTCGAACCTTTGAAATGCTTAGAAGACTCTATTCCCTCGATTTCGCGCGGAGCCAACGATCGTTACACGCAGTAGCATGTTTTTAATGGATTTACAGCGAAATAATTGTTTATTTTTGCGTTAATTAACCGAAGCTAAGATCGATCGACTTGTACTCTCGAAGCTTCGTGAATTCGGATTAAGAGAATGACGAGGTCGCGCACGCAGTGCGATCGAATATTTTCAAAACTCATTTTTTTAGATTCCCATACCGAGTATATTTCTAAAAAAAACTGCGTACAGAGACCTTAACACAATTAAATCCGTCATCTCGTAAAAGTTTAAAAACAATATTACGCGATTGAAATTTTTCAATTTTACATTGTTTCTCTGGGATTCCCTGTAGAATCCCTCGCGCCGAGCTCTTGTGTAAACACGAAAATGAGACTTTTTTAGTGTCCAGTGTATGTGAACACGCTTAATTTTAATACCATTTAACGTCGATGGCACCTAATTCTCAAAGAAAACATTCATGCGGGTTGGCGTAAATTTCCCGCTGAACCAGCCGATCTCTTTATAGAAATATACTTATGTATTTATTTATTTTAAAACAAACAACGTTGTCAACTCGATGTCGAGTCCAAAGTATTAAAAAAAAAATCTCTCTCGTACGGGCAAAGGTTGTTCTCGCGGAAAGAATCATACGCATGTGCTTCGCAAAAATTGCGAACTCAAAAATACATATATATCGGCATTTGGTTACGCTCTGTAAGGCCGGCCGCGCGGGCAGTAAACACCGCACACGGCGCGTATCATCTCGGTTTCCGGCGATAAAAGACTCGCTCGCTAGCGCGCAGAAATTCATATAAACAACGTGTAACAACATATAGCCGGCTTGGGTTCTCGAGGCTCATTTTTCAGCGGCGATTCTCGCTGAAAATAAATCGGAGCTTTGACGCGAGGCCCTCTATACGTATAAACATAAGGTTTTGCCTGGAGTGAGAAAAAAAAAATCACACATGGGAATACCTAGATCAACGCGCTGCATTGCGATGATAATGTATGAAAATTCGCAACTGTACATCGAGCGCCTTTCACGCGATGACGGAGAAAATCAAGGTGTCTGCTGCTGCTGCTGCGCGCCTCGACTCGTATATAACCATAGCCACTCATTCGCGATGGAAAAAAAGAGAAGAAAGAGGAGAAAAAAAAAGGAACAAGGCATCGAAGCGTTCATACCGCAAAATCATCGAAGCGCGACTGTTTCTGCTTGTATATTGTTGTACATATAATACGTGACGATGCAAGTAGCAGCTCGCCGCGGCCTTGCCTGCGATGCAGTCGATCGCGAACGAGGACGCGCGCAAAAAAGAGTCAAAGACCCTTGTATACGAAGAACGTCGGGCGATGGACCGCTACGCTTCGAGCTATATAGATATATTATACACCGAAGCTCGCGCCCAGAAAAATCCGCGTCCTTTCCCTTTCCGAAGTTTTTTGCGCGGGTGCGCATTCGCGAAGTGCAAAAATCTCCGCGAGTCGACTTTCTTACTGCCTACCTATATATATATAAGATGCCGAGTCGACCGTAATACACATATATAAAAATAGCTGCAAGAAATTAAACTATACGTGCCGCGCGCGGTTGTGCGAGCTGAGCTCGAAAGGATCACGACGAGGCGTTAATTAACTTTTCATAGAGATCATATTATATGGTATATATTTATTCGCGCTCACTCGCGTTACTTTACCAGACTACTATATGGTATAAATGGAAAGTGAAATTCGTGGTGTATATAAAATTGACGAATGGATGAATGAGCCGCTCGCACAGGTAGAGAGAGACGGAGGAAAAAAAAAACAACAAGAATCGGTACCGCGAGTCATCGCGTGAGATGACTTAAAAAAAAGCGCCGATTCCACCTACGCGTTTTAATACGCGCGGAGACTGTTCCGTGTGAGAAAGGGGAAAGCCTATTCTCATTGTGAGTGGCCGCGTACCAACGCACACACACACACATAGATATAATAATGAGAGACTGCCTGGGTTTACATGTGTGTGCTCGGTACGGCTACAAAATGCGGAATATATCATCCATTGTTCGCGCGTCAAACGAATGAGAAATAAACGCGCGCGAATATGTCACGTGTTTGCGTTTGTGCCGTTCGTATACACACATATCCACCTTATCTCCGCGTCTTTGAAGAAATAATCGCCAGAGCTCGGTCGCGAGCGCGCCCGTTTCGCAAGCTCATTGCAGCACACGCACACACACACACATACACGCGTTTTCATATATTCCGTGAATTTACACTTTTCCATTATTATATTTTTGCACGCTAATCATCGAAGCGGTATATATCATATGGTTTATACAGCGAGTCTCGATGCAGCAGCAGAGAAAGACAGGCGGCCCCGCCGAGCTTGGATTTTTGAATAATAATGGTGTATTATGGGCCCCGTTATTCTACCACCTAGACTTGTTTTGGTGCTGACAAAACGCTCCGTTTAAAGACTAATTTTTCTTACATTTCTATACAAATATTTATTGTTTTTTGGTAGTTTAAGTATTTAAAAATTATAGTTTATAATGTTATACCAAAAATTGTTTTTCATAGAAAACTTCGAAAAAAATAAAATCGCATTTATTTAGCTCGTCAAAATTTAGCATTATTTATTTCATTAACGAGAAGCACATTTTGAAAGATCTAGAGCTCCTTTTAGAGCCCAATAAACAGATTTTATGCTCCGGCTGTCGTAATTCCTGTAATAAATCAAAGGTTAATGAAAAGTGCAAGGCGAAGATTGAAACTGCGAAAGGTGTACTTTCGCTTATATACACATCAAAGTTTTATATCGTCCGTATTATATAGCTCGAGGTGCAGATTATTTACACACGCGCGAAACACTTGAGCGCTCGATAAATATGTTAATAACGTTTGCGGCCTCTCGATCGAATTCGGAAGTGGAAATCCTGTTTTTTTTTTTTTTTTTTGCAAAAGCGGTAATAACCATAAATAGGCGTCACTGTCGATTGCGCGCCGACTCGATCGAATCGTGATCTATAATCGAATATCTCTGCCGTTCGCCCGCTACGATATCTAGGCCAATATAACATAATTACAATAATATATATGGGAGAGTATATTGGCATGCGAACGTGTTTATATATCGGACACCTACGCCGTCGTTACTTACTTATGTACGAGCGCCGCTGCCGAGGAGACACGAAGAAACCAGGAGAGAGATACGGAGACACCTTCGGAATCGTTATTTCTCAAATCGGATGTGTGCTTTTGAGCTGTATCGTAATATTCCATCGGGTGTGGGACGTATCGCCTCTCGATTAGCATAAATATACTATATCTAGCTCGATCATTGCCCGCAGGAATGTCGATTTGCCTCGCGCTTGCAGAAAACCAAAGCGTCGTTGACGTAATGTCGAGTGCAAAAAAAATCAAAAGAAAATCGTCCAACGTATCTCGTTGAAAATGCATTTATTCAACAAATAAAAAAAGTAATATTTTTTTAATCTCTTGCTAATTGGATTCGTTGAAAATCAATGCCTGCTAAAATAAATATATGAAAGTTTAAAAAGAAGTTGGCTACGTGATGCAAGATGAATCATATAATGTGTATATATATTTTTTTTCAAGTTTTATTCTTTTGATGACACGAGTCCCATATTGATCAAATGGAACTCGATAAATTTTACACTTTGGAATCGTTTTCGTATAAGTCAAAGACGACACAAGGAAAATGTTTAGTTAGTAAGCTAGCGAGTTCGTTTAAAAACGGAGAAAAATCAATTTCATTCAGCTCGTATAATATATTATTTACGCATTCGTTTTATTTGACAACCTTTGCTCATTCGTCGTTTTACAGTATACAACATCCTTTCTCTCTTCGATCTTTTTCAATTATGACACATTTTTTCTTATCACGCGAATTGTTAGATACACAGCGTGGTGTGATGTTCTGGTGCTCTCTTACTCTAAAAACTTTTCCCTTAAATCTATATAAGTTTTAAAACTTCAATAATGCAATTTTCTCATTCTGTCGTACGGGTAGGGATTTTCTTCCTCTTCTTCTTCGACTAATACAAGTATGATATATCGTATGCATATACAATAATTAATATAGCATTACAAGATTCAGCTATGGGACGATGATCAGCTTAATAATACGTATTTGGAACACGATCGTGCACTTAAATTTTTTTATATATTATATTACGATGAATAATATTTGTTGCAATAAATTCGCATCGTACATCAAGGAATCGTCGAATCAATAAAATATGGCAAATGTATATCGGGTGGCATTATATTAGCGGTTAATTACGCCTGTCTACGTTGTTGAGCCATCCTCGAACGGAGGCAAAGGTTCGCACACGAGTCGCTTCTTCCTTCGCGTCGCCGTTGCGCAACGGTCCTATCTCTCTCTCACTGGCTGTGCACTTTTCTTTTACAACATCGACTTAATTGTCTCTCTCTCGCTCTTTAACAGTATGCATATTGTACACACACGTGATTATAACGAACTGGGATCGTAGCTATACGGAAAAAGGGGGGAAAAACGTACGACGAATATAATTAATGCTTTGTGGAAAAGTATACTTGTATATATAGGCACCAACGGCGAGTCTATAGATGCACAATAGAGAAGCCGACGGAGCCGACTGGAATCATATATAATTAAACGATACTCGCCGATGAAACACAGCGGCGTACCATATATACTACTGCGACCTTTTTTTGTGCTAACGAGAAAGAAATGCATCGCTAAAAAGCTGCTTTCCAGCCATTGTTGGACAGTGAGTCCCCCAGCGCGCGCGCACACTCACGAACTCTTGACAAATCAGATTTAATCGGGCTCAATCAAACGCGCGCACGGGGCCTCTTTATAACGAGCGCGCCCGCAAACATTTACATATAATATATGCCAGCCACTTCGTATTGTACCGCTGCTGCTGTTTGAGCTAGTGTAAATCTATAAATAGCTACATTATGTACAGTTTTCAAGCTCAATTGTACATGTTTATACAAATTCTGGTGTTACGTATCGAATTATTGTTTATTGTTTCGTTATATTGTGGCTTATAATTTTTGCTCGTTCGTTCGCTCTATTTTTCGCTCGAAAAATTTGTCAAGCCCCCCTCGCTGAGATGCCCAATGCGTTCGAGAGCTCGATTCCCCCGATGCTGATACAATATATACTATATAATATAATACGTATAATAATAGCTACTTGTATATGGTGCAGTCTGAACCGTCCGTGTGCTTGCGCGCCTTCGGTCGTGAGAACAAATTTGCCATTGAAAAACAAACGCCGCGGACAATTAAAATGCTTGGAAAATTTCGCGCTGTGTTACGCTAAAAGTATATAATAATTCTTGTTGTTGCTAATGAACTATCGATCTAGCTAAACTCCGACTTATTTAAGTATTTTTTATTTATAAAACTTCATTTGCTTTCGTCGCTATCGATACGAGATTACAATTATTTTTAGTTTATAATCAATCATCTCTCGCAATCTCTAATAGTTTAGATTCATTCTCGTTTTCGAACTTGGCGGCTCTCGAGGATACGCCGCCGAGTTTTATTTACTTTTTTTTTTTTTTTCGATGCCACAGCACTGTATTGAGCACTTGATCGCAATATATATCACTGTTACAAATGAATATTTTGCTTCAAGGATTTGTTGACAATTTTTTTTTGTATTATTCAAACGATATTCAATAATCACGAAGAACACAAACAATTAAGCTACGACTGGCCGTTATTTATTTTATTTTATTTTTTTAATATATTTCAAATGATATCGTTACGCTTACTTAAAAAATATATATCGTATATTATCATACTATAATATGTACTATAGATAAAGATAAGAGGTAGAAATCTACCTTATTTACGAGCGCCGATACTCTAGCAGGCTTGCGTACCATCGAACGGAACGCAAACACGCGCCGTATTTGCACACGTACAATTTATTTTCAATTACATACAAGTTCCATGTGTGGGTGTGTGCAATACACTCGAACTCGCATCATTGCCAGCAACAATCAATACACAAAGTGTTCACATATATATAATATATAATACGTAAAAGACTGCTAACGCGATAACAAAAGTTCCAGGATGAGCCGCTCGTTATCTGACGAAATATATGGAGAAAGATAAAAAAAAAGTGTTTGGTTAATATTTGTATAAATGGCACCAGCGACGACGAATTTTACCCGTATCCTGTTTTTTTAATGGGGCGCCTAGACACCGATTCAATCGAATTTCTCGAATTGCAATTGTAAGAAATTTATCGCCCCTCTTCTTCTTTTTTTTTTTTTTTGTTTACTCGATAAGATTGTCGCTTAAATGTAGAACAGCTCGTTTTTACTCCGATATCGGGTCGAAATCTTTATCGTTCAACGAATTCCTAGCATAAGGTTTTTGTAACAACGAACCCATTCGTTAAATTAATCAACAATCAAGTTAATAATTAACATATAGTTCAACATGTAAAACAACGATCGATAATTAATTTTTCACGACACACATCCGATATTTTTTTCATTAAATTTTTTTTTATACATTTAAATTGATATTATGTTTTTATATGTAATATGCAGAATGCTATTGATAAGCTAGATTTCAATTTCCCATCTCTTGGTCAATACGTGACATTTAGCACTTGAGTTTTTCTTTTGCAGTAAAATATCATAATTGGAATATAATAATATATCGATGATTAACACACTGGAGGTCGCGTAAATATATATAATTATGTATAATTAATTAGTTTTTCATTTCAATATATCTATGTATTTATAATTATGCTGAAAATAACGAATGGACGAATGGCCGATGGCGTTCAACGATTCGACGCATTCGCTCCTTAAGATATATCATAAGATTTTTTTTTCTCAATATTTCTCCGGCGCACAATCGCTCGTCGACGATCCTCATTTTTGCGACTACCACTTCATGCTGCTGGCGACTTCTGGATTCACAAATGGATTGGTCGGCGCTGCTTGCGGATAAATGAAAAGAAAAGTCGTATTCAATTTCTCAATCAATAACGCAATTGCACACACTCTAAATAAGTCAAAAACTCATCTACGTTGCAGCGTGTGATGGATAATAGAATGTATGTGTGTGTGCACAAATCAAGTATATTATATATGAACATGCACAAATCAAAGTATGACGTATGTATTATGAGATAAATAAAACAAAAATGCCTCCATGTGGTACGATAATTCGTTTTAATTTGAGCAAGCAAAAGCTTACAAATTCATTTACAATCAACATTCAGGATAAATCATGACGATTAGCTAGCAAATTATAACTTCAAAACTGATCGTGATAAAGTTGATAATCCGTATACAATTTACAGGTAAAACACATCGAAAAAATTACAACTACGAATTTTCAACGACGTCGATAAACAATGATGAGAAAAAAAAGAAACATTATGATAAAAAATAGATAAAGGGGTATAGATGCATGAATCTAGATGATCGACTCAATTGTTTGCGTTAGGCGTGTAACGCAATTAATTAACATAATTGAAAAATTCATTTACTATTAACAATACAAAAATGCAACTTAAAGTAGAATTATATAAAAATAAGTTTGTGTGTGTATTGTATATATATAATTATGTATATATTTGTTGGGTACATGCAATCCTCACGAGCGTGTTTTTACAATTAACGGTACAACAATTTTTTTTCGACACTTATGAACTAGCAATTAATAATAGTAGTTATTTTCGTTGATGGCTCTCAAATGTACAATTAAAAAACACAATTAATTTTCTTCCATTATACGCGCGTGCGCATAAAACAGGTGCGCCCGAAAACAAGCACATTATAAGTTTCCTTCAATTGCTATATAAAAAAAAAATTATTATAAGAATTCGCCGAGGAATAATTGAAAATTAGTTACCGATTCTCCGAACGCAGTACAACGTGACGCACGCCTATACAATATAACATACATGTGTGTATCGTCGCCATCGTTATTATTATTGTACGTGTCTCTCGGATTATATGCACGGCTGCTCTCTTATCAGCGCGTCGGCATATGTGCATGGCGCGAGCGACCGAACAATATCGCGCAATTTTTCAAAGAGGAAAAAGAAATCGATAATCAACCGGTTCGACTATGTGCATAGGCTGTTTCAAGATCGTCACGATGCGGTCAATTTTACCAAGCAGCTGATTTGTCTGCAGTCAGCTCCAGTACATACACTCTCGTAGCTAAATTTGCTTGTTAAAAGTACTTGTAATTAGTTTGGAGTGAAGTTTAAGAATAAACGAAAAATGTCCAGGTAAAGCGAAAACCATTTTTTAATTTACAAACTGTACTTCGAGACACAAGGAATTTCGCTTCATTCGGTTATTTTTTGTTTATTTTTAAACTTCGCTGTAAACTAATTACAAGTACTTTTAAACGAGCAAATTTAACGCGTGAAGTCTGCCGGCTTGCGGTTTGTTATGGAAAATCAACTGCTCGGCGAAGTAACCGCTTCGTTACGATTTGAAAATAACGAAGTTTCCGACGCGCGTTTAAAAGGAAGCTCGCGACAGGTGAATCTTCACGAACATTAAACCGACGTGCACAATTTCTTTATCTCAACAGCCTCGCGGACATTTTTCTCAATTTTTAAATAAAATTATTCCTAGAACGAGACTGCACATAATACATATCTAAAACGATCGTTAACGAAGAGCAAAGTAAAGTTTTTTGGCCTCTGTCTCGCGTCTGCGTGTTATTTTGCTCTCGCTCCTCGAGTACATAGTGCTCTCTATACGTAGTGCAGGTTCTGCATTATCAAAGAGGCTCGCGCGCTTGGACGTGAGAAAAAGACGCCGAGGAAAATCCGATAAGCAGCAACAACACGGCTGAGTAGTAGGCTACTACTATTCGAAATATATCGAAGCCGAGAGGCACACACGACGGGTTGAGAGCCTTCGATTCTTCGGCATGAGACGCGCGCGGCCAATAGCCTCGACTCACTTGTAAACTTTATACTTAGGCATGCATCATCATCATATATATACAAAAGAGCGGATACGTCGTCGAATCGCGCCTACATATGTATTACACATTAATAAGAGGAAAATTCGAAATTCGTCTCTCGGAAAAGCAGCTCATCGCCGTTGTCTGTGTATTTGTTTGTTTGTGTAAGGTTTATATAGGTGTATTAAGCAGTGGTAACCGCGACATCTGGGTTGTTGGCTGCGGGGGTAAAATGTGTGTGAATTGAAAAATCGATGTATTTTTCTTGTAGTCGTGTGCTCGTATATTTTCGTGTATGAGTGTTTGAGTGTGTGTGTGAGGGAATAAATGGACGAAAAAGAAAAACAAAAAGGAATCAATAATCGAGCAGCACATAATTCATTGGTCTCTTTCTTTCTTTGCGTGCTTTTTTTTTTCTTATGTGGTAGAAATACCGGGAGTGTAGACGGGATGCTCTTGGCCGCTGGTGAGGGTCGTGCTCTCGTTAGCCTGGGGCGGCGGCATCGCGAACACCTGCTGGTGGGGCTGCTGCTGCTGCTGCGAGCCCGTGGTCGAGTTCAGCGTCGACGAGGGCTGATTCGTCACCGTGTCCAGGTCGCTCTCGTCGATCTCGTCCTCCTGCTCGTGTATCAATGGAAAAGAAAAACAGAAAAAACAGACCCAATCACGTTAGTCAAAGGCGTACTTCTCGGGAGTGTGCTGCGGATAACGCCGTCATCCCAATTTTCAGTTTTTTTTTTTTTTTTTTTTTTTATCTTTCTTAACGATGCTTGAAAAAAACATTAAAAAATTCGACACACAGATAGAGATAGAGCGAGAGAGATCCTCGGAACGGTAAACAGGTGTAAATAGGATGGAAGAAGAAAAAAACAGCGATCCGGTGTTAACAAGGTGCGCCGCTTACGTAGGTACATTGAGCACAGCGCACCACATTACACACATTGGTGTGCGTTACATACGAAGCGGCACTTAGGTGAGCTCGAGTGCACGTAAGAATAATTATGAATATTTTTTTTTTCATTGCAGTCGCGTGTGTGCTACACACGTATATAGATGTAAAATACACACACACACACGCAGACTACTAAGAACATCCATGGATGTGGTGGTACACATGGAAACACAAAATTGGCACGTGAACATAACAGGTGTTTTGTATTTTTTTTTGTTTTTTTTTTTTTGTTGTTTTTTGAAATTATGCGCGTATATTATGCAGATCTTACGTGCAATCGTCTTGCCGAAGACCGACGGTCGTTTTCATTATTCGAATCGCTACAATAATGAGGTACTCTCACCCACGTAATCATGCGCTGATTCCTCAACTGAAATAATATCGTTAGTCACGTAGTCCATCCTCTTTTTTTTCTCTCTATTTTTTTTTACTCATCAAAAGCTTCTTGTCTTGCCTTTTGCTTTAGTTACATTGATTCATTATTGTCTTAAATAGATGCAAGAGGGAGAAAGGGTTGAGCTATAGACATGCACGGTACAGAAACTTTCGTTCGATTGGAAAATGCCATAGTGTCAGAGCGAAACGAAAGAAACTGTACCAAAAATTGTTAATAAATATTTACACTCACACTCTGTAAACCAGCGAGTTAGTAGAAGCCGAGGATACAAGACAGTTAATAAATTATTTAGTCAGGAGATATCGTGAAGGACGAGAGGGAAAAATTGGAGTGTGTCATTGTAGGGGGAGGGATGCGTGGAATATAAAAACTTACTAACACTTTGTGTTGGTTGCGATGTAATGACTTCCTCTTCTGGATTTTGGCCATTCTCCCGCTATAATAATACAACAGTCAAAAACAAACGACAACATAAACAAAACTGGCTAATGATGGTAAATATAATGTGCTTCGATTTTTTTTTTTTTTGTTATCCATCGACTCGACACACGCTTGGCAGAGAAGTCGCTTCGTTCTTCGCGAAGAATGACCTAAGTATGTATAAAGTACGGTGAAGGCTCGTAAAAGTCGCTCTTAATGGTCAAGTAAAAATACGGAGCAAAGAAAATCATAATAAATACGATAGAGATGCGATAAAAATGATCGATGGAAAAACAAATCGATGATTCAATGCCAAGAATGTATTCGCCGTCCATGATAATTATAATATAAAATTTAATATTGTAAAATAATAAATAAATAAATAATGTGACTTGAAATGGTGCAGCATAAATAACGAATTATATAAATGAGAGAGAGAGAGAGAGAGAGAGAGAGAGAGAGATTGTTGTTTGGTGGCTGAGGCACGATCGGAAAACTTTTGATTCTTAGAAAATCTCATTCGACCGGCCGACGCATTTGCAAAAAGAAGTTAAAAGTCTTTATCTCAAACGTGATACAATAGCGAATGAAACACGAACGTGTGCGAAGTGCATATAGAGTCTGCACTGCCCACGGATAGCAATACTCTCGCCTTTACTTTGCGTATTAAAGTATACAAAGACAGCTTACAGCAGCAGCTTACGACTTTATGCGCGATACACGTAACTTTATTGAGACACAGCAGTGCGTGCGCGGCTCTATATATATTTTTTTTATATATGGAACGTATACACGTGTAGGAACACACGAAACTTGAGTAATGAGAGCGATCGATGAGGCACGCGAAACATTTTTATATTATTATTATGCGATTAAAAAAGAAACTATTCGCAAAATCTCTCGAATAGGTGTGTATACACACTACGCGCGCGTTGGCTGCTGATAACAACAACGCTAACGTATACGAGTCGCTGCCGCTTTATGAGTATTGATTTCTGTATACCAGCTGTAAGTCGCTTTGGATGCAATGCCACCGGACACACGACTTGGCCGCATCGAGGAGAGAGATTGAACTTGAGGCGCAATCGAAAAATGCGTGAATATTACAGCGTTGTTAACAACGACAACGACAACAAAAAAAAGAGAGAAAAACATGATAATCGAATGAAACGAAATATGATTGAAAATTAATGATGACCTAGAGGTGCTTCGGGTTGGGTTCTACAATGATAATCTATGAAGTAATACGTGCTATATATAAATTACAAGCAATGGCTCTTAAGTGCAAATGAAGAAACACAGACGGAATGATGTACGTAAGACTCATCCAAAATTACATCACAAAACAGTGAGATACAAATAGACAAAATTAAATCCTCGGACGAAACTTGAAAATTATTATACAGTACAATTCAAAGTAGAAGTTTTGCTCAAGCATTAGGAGTGACCTTGGGCAAAGAAATCTCAGTAAATAGATGTACATGGAGAGAAATTTGTTAACTGCATCAAGACAACTGCTCTTGTCGCAAAGTGAAAAACGACGAATTATCTTTTATAAAAAAAAAATTTCGATTTTCATGCCGCAAGAAGCACCGTCTTTTTTGATGCAGTAAAAAAAAAATTTCTTTCGGTGTAATAAGATATTTTAGAGCATCAGCACCTACCTGATACTGAGGATTCGTTTGAAAGTAATATTATACAGCTTTTGTCTGAACTACAGGCATAATGAACAATATCTGTTCATACAGTCAAACATACAATAATATTATTTGTAGCTGTTAGTGCAGTTTAATGGACAACATCATAGCATCATAAAATTGTTAAAGTAGCAGCAAATTTCATACACAGTACGTACAGTATTTTCACCATTAAACCATTGATCCCTATGACTCGCTTTGTTAAAACAGTAATAGCGTAAAAAATTTGAAGCAAGCTTCAAGGAGGATCTATGAAAATTCATAGCATAGGAACTAACTACGTGTGAGGTCATCTTTGAAAATTAAAATTTCTTAAAAAGTGTAACTAAAACCATTGTAACAAATTAAAATCAAATTTGTATACAACCGGAAGATTATAAAAATAAAAAAGATAACAAATCTTGTGCCGTCAGCTACCAAAATAAAAGTTACTGATAATAATTATCAGATAAAAAAAATTATATCCTTTTAAAAGTAAAATTACTCAAATAAAAACCAATAAATGACTAATATCATCAAGAGTCAAATTTCCCACCTGTAGATTATGGTATGCTCCACTTTCTTCTGGATTTGGTGGTTTGAACTTGCCACAACAGAAGTTACAACAGCAGCAGAAACAACAGCAGCAACAATAACAGCCAGTTATGACTCCACAGAATGCAAAGAATATCTGAAAATTTTTATAAGAAATATTAATTTGATGTGGAAATATGAAAAAAAAAAAAAATTGAATTTACCTTTGTCCATTTGGAAGTAACAATAAAGTATGCATTAACATTTTCTTCTCCAAATTGCTCTGCAATGTACAATCCAAGCGAACCATAATTATCATATATGTTCCGTTTCGTTAGGTCTGTCAAAATAATCCTAGCCCTATTAATTTCTTTGAACTGAAACATATGACATCAATGATTAGTTGAACCATCAGGCAATTAGATGATACATTTGACAGAGCTTGCAAACTAACTTTTTCTGCTGCTTCTGGATTGTTGGGGTTTTTGTCAGGATGATACTTAAGAGCCAATCTTCTGTACGTCCTCTTGATATCATCAGCTGTGGCAGTTTTTTCTACTTCTAGGATTTGATACAGTGAGTCTCCAGATGTGCTGAGGAAAAAAAATTCAATGGTGACTTGGGCTGCATCATTACCATATACATTGTGTGCATGCTCGTCATAACTCGCGCTATTGTTATAACTTCAAGTATGCGGGGATAGAAACTCCGATTAAAAAGCCGCGCACGAGTCACGGGAACTTAATTAAGATTATGAAGCAAGTGAAATGGACAATTGAGCTCATCGCTACAGATAAGCCTTTCAAACAATGTCAACAGCAAAAATCGAGGAGGCAAATCTTTTTGGTTTCATCAAATACGAGAGAAATCGATACGTCGACGCACAAATACCAGTTTGACTTTGATATACGTGCACGTATCGTTGCTCCAAGAAACGTTAAAAGCCATGTGCCGTCCGATATTTTACAGGGACACATACGGCGCGCGCGAGGGTTCGCATGTGTGCATTGGTAATCGATCGCATCATATTGTGTACGTTGGAAAAGCTCCGAATCCAAACAGCACCGCGTAAAGCATAGAGAAGAGAGAGAGAGAGAGTTACATAAAAATCCATGAATGAACATTTCGCAGCAGTCACGACGGTGAGATCTTTTAGAAAATATAAAAGATCTTCTGGTAACGAGCCGTTACCAAAGCAGCAGGCAGCAGCACGTTTTCCCCGTTGCCTCGCTACGACGTCGCGTGCGCGAATTATTAGCCGAGTATGCAATCGCATGACGATTCTGAAAAGCCAACTCGAAGATGATTGTCAAGTCTGTATTGTAAGGATAACCTCGCGTCTGCATATTTCGCGGTTGTGCTGCTGCTGCTGCTGCTGCTGCTGCGCGGTGTACGTACAGCTCGCATTACAGCCGTGCACACGAACGGGGCTACTAGTCAAGGTCAGCTGTGTATGTGTCCGTATTAAAAGAAGTCAGAATTTTCTCATGCTCACGAGAGTTTTCTCTGCTTCACGTCCATGTTGCTTCCAGGCGGGCCGGGTCTGCGTCCAGCGCCCAGATTGCCACCACCCTGATCCGGTCCTTGTCCTGGCGGTAACTGATTCATTTCATACCCCACTTATCGGAATTGGAAGCAAAAAAAAAAAAAGAAACGACAATTCGACACTGCCGAACACTGTTATACACCGCTGCGGCTACTATACTGATGGCTGCTGCTGCTGCTCTACACTCACTGGCCACTCGAAACTCACACTGTGGGCGCGTCACTCTCGCAGAGGCCTATTACACTATACACGCACCACTACTACAGATGGGCCACGGAGTGATGTTATTGCTTTCGCGGCTGCAGCTGCGCTTTAACTGCTCTACCTCTATGTGCGTGTAATAACGGCAGCTCTCTGTATACAGCTGCTCGCTGTACTGGCGAAAGTCCCGCGATCCCGAAACTCCCGAAGTGGCGTGCGACAGCCCCTGGATTGACACGCCTTGTCAGAGCGACCGAATCAACTTAACGGGGGTATGCTACACACGATGGGCAAGATCGAGCCTCGCGATTTTCTTTCGAGCGAAACACGGATCTATGTGTGTGTGTGGACACAATGAGAATTGCGAAGCTGTCGGATATAGTCTATCTGGAAAACGGTGCGAAAGCGCTCATTCAATATTTTAATTGATAACTCGAACACGGCGAGGCGCTACGCGACAGACTAGAGACCCCCTGACACTGCGCGGCTAGCTTGACGCGCATCGTACACGACCAGCTATAGAATCGAAAAGAGATTACTTTCTTGAAAAAAAAGAACCTGCCTAACTAGCTGTAATGTCTGTTGAATCGTTAAAAATAATTCGTATTCACGATGCATCTATTAGTTAATTGACTATTTATTTATTTTTTATTTAATATTTACTTTATTGAGGCTAAGAATTTAAGTCCACCGTAGCCCACAGGCAGCTGCGTAGCCTCCCGGTCAACAATAGGGGACCCGGGCATGAGTACCACATACATTTTTGATTATTTTTACAAGAGAAAAAAGAATACATGTGTAAAAAAAGAAAGAGAATACAAATAAATGAAAATAAAAATAAAAAAGCAGCCAATGAACACAGATAGGTCAGCTGACTCTCTGAACCTCCAATAAATTTTTTGCGCAAAGTGCACGGAATGTTCTGCAAACATAATGTTTGAATGAATTATAGGTACCATCGTTTTATATACAATTTATGCATTTATTTATGTACAGTTATGCAGTCTATAATTGCATTCAGATGAATAGTCATTGTTTTCATCAGGTATGATTAACAAAAATATCAAGGGAAAGTTTAAAAGTAGATAATGTAAGACATAAATAACATTAGACAATAACATGTTGAAAACAATTAATATGAAGTATAATGATTTTAGAAAAAAAAAATTATTTGACAAGTGTTCATCGTTAAAATGTGTATTATTGAACTAAAGTGTGTACAACGCAAAAATCAGTACTCAACTTATATAAATATACACTGCACTTCGATGCATATATTTATATATGCAAGCACTAAACAATTGGTCTCTAAATTTCGTGAAAAATCACTTTTCAAAAATGACGTAGTTAGATATTTAAAACATTTTTTCCTCTCCTACTGTCTCTCTTAAGTAACATTATTCAAAAGATTTTCATTCAACATGTTTACTATTAACATTGTAATTATAAGAAAAAAATTAACATCGATGTAACGAATGCGTGCATGTAAAATTCTTAAAATTTAATTATACAAAAGTATCCTCAAATCACAGAATGAGTCGAGAAATTTCTTGCACACATTTGTCAGTACAATACAGTATTGAAAATACGAAACCACGACAGGTTTACAAAAATAATTGTTCTAAACTTGCTCAGCGACACGTCAGATCCAAGAACATTGTTTTTAATATTTTATAACTGAACAAAAATAATCTTTGAATATTATTATTTTAATATTAAAAGTTTACAAAAAGTGTAATGCAACTGGTGCACTTGTTTGAATTTAAGAACATATTCTGTTGTTAAATGTAAGTAATCTTGATTAGTCAGAATAATTATGAGTTATAAAATAGTTTCTGCAGATCTTTGGCAAATTGAAGCTTTTTGCAGAAAAAAAGAGATATTAGTTTTTGTACATTATTATTTATAACAATCGTGCTTACTATGAAACGTTTCATGATCGTCAAATTATTACTAGTATATGAAAAATTTGTTCCATAACACACAAGCTCTTTTTGAGACTCAGCTGTGTTTTAAAAGTACACAATTGCAAGCTAAATAGCACTGGTCAGTAATAAAGTGTTCAAAAATAAAAAATTATTAAAGTATTTTTGTTGTAAGTTATTCTCGTGTGCTAATAGCTAAGCATATCATAAATTACATTATATACATTTTTTATAAGTAACAACATTCAAAATTTAACGTTCGTAATTAAATTATGAATCTTGGCATAAATATTTTGAATGTATACATATGAATTTGTATGAAAATATGTAAAGAACATTGCACATCCCCTAACCAACATATTTTAGCTTTAGAATCTGCCTCATGCTGTACTCAACATTATAATTTTTTTCAAATAAAACTCAAAAAATATTATACCATCGAATTATAACATAAACTAAATATTTTTTTGCAATATCACACGCAGTTGAAAATTCAAATTTATTTCATAGACGCGTGAGACTATTTATAAACATAAGTATTATAACTTATATAGCTCATTTGAAAAATCTGCCAAAAAACATACTAAATATCAGTCTCTAATATATAAAATATTAGTTCTAGTACAGTTTGTGTATCCTCACAGCCTTGTACAGCTTTTTGTAAGACTTGAATGAGTTCATTGTCTAAGCTATTCATATAAATCGGTGGTAAACGCACTCCCTCACTTCCAGCCTCATAGCCCACCTATAAGAGATATTTTATTGTAAGTCAAGAAGATACTCGAAGATAAATGTTTACATACGTTATCGGGATGTATACTAGTTCGAACAGCAATTTTTGTAAGTCCAGCATTAGCTAACAAATCCAGTAGTTTCACAAGCGCTGCACAGGTAGCTCGAGCTATGTTCTCCGACAATTTATTTATATCCACAGGATAATGCATACCAAAAGGTTGATCGTCATCCGACTAAAGAATAAAAGTCATTGAAATAATTATACTCTTATGATTTTTTTGAAAGATTTTATCTAATTACCTTTATGATAAATACTTCAGTCCATCGTATGAACCGACTTGTTCCCGCAAAATTAATTCCATTGTGCACTCTGATAGATGGAATCCCATCCATGGGTTTTCCATCGATTGGACTTTTGATACTATAATGTTCAAAAAAGTTATTAATAAAACTTGTGAAGATTTTAGATAAAAATTTTTAAGTACAAATATTATTTACCCGACGTTAAATTGTACATCATTTTCGACCCATTTGATATTAACAGTTTCATCCGGTTCTTCAGCCCCTTGTTTACCGCACCCAATTGTGAAATCTTGCATATTTTTTAGTGCAGCTTTCAAAGCTTCCATTTTTTCTGGCATGATTTGAACCATCAAGCCATCTTCTAGAATACTTGAGTTTGCCGTTAAACCCATCGATGATTTCAGAGCTCCGTTAATGACGATAAAACTCGCTCCGGTTACTGTAAAAATTAGAAATTGAAAAGAACAGTCGTAGAATCAAAAGTTAAAAAGTTAAGGTAATTTTTTTACCATTTCTTGGTTTATTTTGAATGTTGATTGCTTGTGTTTGATAGGTACTTTCTTCCTCGGAGTTTGTTTGCATGCATACCAAATGAGAATCAGCTTGGATGCTGAAATTCGCAGCGAACGACAGGACGTGATCATTCGAATTGTTTAAAGCTTTGAGCACTTGATTGTAGCGGTTTTTCGGAAATCTAACGTTGGTAGTTCGACCTTGCACGTGGATGGTCAATCCCTGCACCTTAGGCAAAGTGTAGGCGAAGTTTCGGAAATCGGCTAGAACTTTCATGATAGTGTGGCCTATTTCAAAGTACACAGCCTCTCTAAAACGAACTGACATCAACGGGCATGGATAGTAACGATACTCCGCTCCTAGTCGTAAAACAAGCCTAAGAGGAAATACTTTGGCCCAAGGAGTTTCCCATCTATATTGAGATATATATGATAAATTAGAATCTTGCGGTTAATGATAAAATGTGGACATATCAAACAATCCTCACCTGTGTACGAGTAAACCAACTAAGAACGGCGCGGGGGGAACGATTATTTTTTGCAAGCATTGCAATGTTTGTCTAATAAAGAGAAATCCAGCATGTTCTCGAGATCCCAGCAAATTTCCAGTTTGATGTATTGACATACCATATTCAGATATGGTGTTACCTTTCAACGCGTCATTATAAATCTGGTTAATATGCAGCAGAATATCTTTTGGTACTAGGGCTTCATCTGGTAAGACTTCGACGAGGAAAACTAATTCATCTTGACCAACACAAGCTAATCCTTTTGTAGTAACATTCCAACACACTTTATCAACGCAACAATTTACTGAAAAATAAACAAAATGTTTATTAAATTTATGATCAGAATCGTTCATAGTGAATATATCTTTAATACTCACGATTAATTATTTTTACATAAGCATATAGATTTCGATTTATTGCAAACATAACTGGAGCTTCGCATTCATTTTTGAGAGAATTCTGAAGAGCATCGGGGTCTGTCGTTTCGTGATAAGTCACCTCTAACAATTCAAATAGTATTGAAATTTTTCAAATAATCACAGGCATGTCGATGATTTTTCTACGATATACTTACGTCCTCTGAGTATCGTTACGGTGGGTGGATAAACATTGGCTTCAGAAGGTATGTAGCTATTCGTAATTGTATCCAGTGGAGGACAGTTGGGCCTTTTCGATGCCGAAGCGGAAAATTCGCCTACTGTTCTTCTGGAACCGGACTTTCGGATCGGTGGATTCCAATCCCAAGCGGTGTCGAGTTCTGTCAGGTCACACCCAGGCCTTATTCCTGTTTTTTTCAATTTTAGAGGTACGTGTCAAAACCAAACAAACGGGAATGGATCACAAGGGCCCGAAGTGTCGAGAATCGAGCGACACCCCGGGGGGTTAAAATTATAATAGATAATCGTGTTTTCTTTTCTTACAAACTAGAGTCGGTTATACTTACAGGAAAATTAAAGAAACTCAAAAGGTCAACTCAAAATCGTTAAAATTCGTATAAACGTGTTTGTATGTGAGTATTCGTAGGTATACAGAGTGTTATGTGGTTATATTCTTGTTCTATGGTGCACGACATTATAAGTAGCGTTATTTTAGCGGTAAGAAATGAAATTGACGACTCACCATCGCTGAACATGACCGATTTTGGACCCTCCCTTTTGCTCGAGCTACCCTCTCGTTTGAGAACTCCGACTGGTACCATAACCGTAGGGGGCGGAGGTAGAGCTCCGGCCAGCTGTTGTAAAGGTGGTATGGTTGAACAGTACTCCATTGGATTATTCGGATTAGGTGGTCTCCCCTGTAACCATTTGTCGAATACTCCAAAACTCTACTTTTTCATTTTACCATATGCTCTGATAGCGGGTTTAAAAGTCGTATTTTTTTTCTTTCAATTGTTTACTCATGCGTCGTTAAATCGTTTTTCTACCTATTATTATTATTATCGAACTAGTTGTCTTAATTTTCAAAGATATTACAACTCAAATCAAATTCACGCCGAGGAAAGTTCACTAATGTACATTTTAATTTACAAAGGTTTCAAAAGATAAGTTACTGTAATTATTGTCTCTTACATAGTAAGTTCATGCTTAACCCAATGCAATGAGATAGGAGGTATTCAACAAGTTGTTACGGGTTTATAATTATGTGCTTTCTATAGAAGCTACAAAACTGTGTTTGTGCATAAAAAATACTAAAAACTATGATCAGTAGTGCAATCATACTTGTTGACTTGAGTACTTACGATCGGGGAATTGATACCGATGTTGCTGTTCGAACTAAAACCTGCATGTTCTCCGGATCCGTTGTCGCTTTCAGCTGCAAGTGATATTACTTTTAAAATACTATTAAAACAGGGAAACAATTTTCAATAATATTTTTCTGTCCATACCTTTGGTCAAAATTTGGTGACACTGAGTACACACTCGAGAGTCTGCGTTATTTAGATATTCCAAGCGATACTTCATGCTGCAACATTTATTGCACAAAACTTTTCCACAAGCTCTGCAGTGATGTCGCCTCTTCATGACTGTAAATTTAGCTTCACATAGCATGCAACTTGGTGCCTCACTATCGGGGATCCAGAATGGAGGTTGTTTTCCAAGAATAGTTCTAGAATCTATTGACGAATTGCTATCGGAAATCGCAGGTGATGGAATTCGGCCACCAAGGCTACATTCACCTTCCAAATCCGATGGTATTTGACTATTTGAAGCTGCTGCTGTAAAAAAACAAACAACAAAAAATCATTGATAACTAAAAATCTTAATTTAAATGAGAACCGGAATAAATTCAGAAAATTATTAATTTTACCTGTTGCCGATGTATCCGCATTACTGGCAATGTCGAGTGTTTGAGGTCTGCTCGGTTTGTTTGGATCATCTTCGGTACTTTCTGCAGAATTTTCGGTTGATCTTTTCGATCTATTTTGCGATTGACTTGGTCTACCAATTTTTTCATTAACGTCAACGTTTCGCGTGACAGAAAACCTCGAGATCTTCTCGAAGCTTCGTACTTTTGGTCTTACTGCCGGTTTCGGCAGGTCCATGGCGTTATTGATATTCTGTTTACTTTTTTCTTTGTCACTTGGATCGGAGTTGTCGAGCCCTGAATGAGTCGTTCCGGCGCAATTAAAATTGTTATCCTCTTCGGAATTAACGTTCGAGTGACCTAGCTCATTTTGGGTTTCGTCTGATTTTGCGGGCGATATCATATTGCTATTCTCTTCATCTGTTGTAATCTTATCTTTTATTAATGGATCTTTATTATCTACGCTTACGTCATTTTCTAGTAGAGATGATTCGTTGTTTTGCGAATTTTTTCTAGCGTGTTCATCTACTTTTTTACTCTGTTTTAATACATCAGCATCATTGATAGCTTGTACACCTGCTTTACTTATGGTTGGCAGGTTGGAAGGAAACTCCCTCGATACCTCACCACTGGAGCAGCCTTCACTATAATCAATTACAGGAAACTTTTTTGCTTTTTCTTGAAGATCTTCTTGAGGAATTTGTGGTAGTTCACCTATTGTTACGGACTCAAAGATTGGAGCCTCGTTGGCATCTTCATCTTCATGGGGCCTAGTCAAAGCCTTTGGTTTGTTAGTTTCTGCACTTCTAGTTGAGTCTACGTTTTGGTACATAACAGATTTCTCATTTAGTATTTCTTTTGCTTCAAGGTCAGCTAAATATTTATTCAGTTCTTCTTCAGACATATCATCAATTGTTGTAAAACCAACAACTGATCTTGGCTCTGGAACTGAAACTGAGGTAGAACTTGACTGAACATTTTGAAAAACTAGTTTTGTACTTGTACTTGGATTTTCACTAAAAACTGCACTAGAACTTGTAATTGAATCTACGATAACATTTGGGTCACTAGGTTCAGTTTCTTTTAAATTTAATTGGTGAATCATTTTCTCTGCTGATGTCTCAACTTCTGAATTAGTGTTGGAAAGATTGTCTTCACTACCAATGTAAATGCATTCATACACATTCTTTTTTTCCAATGGTGGCAATGACTGAGCTTCAATGTTCATATTTTCATAAATATGTTGACTTTCAGTATCTTTCTTCTGCGGCACTAATAAAGTGGTATTTTCTTGAGTCTTTGGAATATCTGTTCCTATGTAGACATTTTCATATACATGTTCCGGTTCATCCAAAATATTTCTAACACTATTATCAACATTTTCTGTACTATTTTCCCCCATTATCAATTCTGGAAATTCTAATTTTTTTTGTTCTGCATCTGTTTTAGTTTCGTTCACTTTTTCTATTACACTAGGACCTACTTTAACAGGTAGCAAAATATTTTGATACTTTGGAGGTTCAGTATTATATCTTATTTCTGCTAATATATCTTCATCCTTTACCGTTAACAGATCATCTACAGAAAACTTTTGAGTAGTATTACTATTTTGTACAAAATTGCTTACATGAGAATCAACTGTGTTACTTAATCCTTCATTTGGTCTCATTAGATAATTAGATTGCATTCCTGGAGACTGATTCATAGCATCTAGACCATCGAAACTACTTATATTAGGGGTACTCAAATAATCATAATTATGAAAATTATTACTATTACCAGGATTTACATTAGGCTGGTTTAGTTTTACATCGTAGGTATTGTGTTGCAAATTATCATCATTTGGCCGCTTTTGTAATAGTTTTTCAGATATGTCGTTGTGAATTATCAAATTTGTTGGATCGTTTTCTTCTACGTGTACCCAAGGTTTAGGGTGAACCTTGTTGCCACTCGAACCATCGTGTGTATAAAAATGATTTATGGAATCTAAACTATCCGCTACGCCATCCTTAATCAAGCTATCTATGTTACCAGCCAAAAATCCTTGATGGACCTCGTCATTGGTTAAACTAGGACCAGCTACAATAGCAGAGGCTTCTGCGTTGGCATTGTGTAAATTTGGTATTGTTTGCTGAGGATAACCTCTCAAGGTACTACTTGGCATATTTGACTGGATTCCTGCAGGATTTGCAGAATTAGTCTGCGACTGCATTCTACCTGTTTGATCTGCAAAACAGCAAAGAAAAGGCGAGTTTTAATTCGTGACCACCAATGAGCGTAATTTTAGCATAAAGTTACGATGCAATGTACCATCATTGAATTCGAACTCATCAAGAACATTGTCAAGCTTGTCCATAGTCAGAGGACCGTGGGAGAATCGACCATCAACCTGTGCAGTAGCAAAATCGTGCGTGTGTGTTTTTGTTGTCTGTTTTAGTCAGGTACATGAAATTGTAACGTCTTCCTCAGTGACGTGTGTGTACGTCATGAGCATCTCGCAGCTACATTGACAGGCAGAAGAAGAACAACGGCAGCCGAGACAGAGAAGGAGCGAGACAGAGAGCAGCAGTTAATAACATCGCGCTCCGCGAGTTTTAATCACGCAGAAATGATTTTGTTGCGAGCTGCAGAGCCCGATGCAAACGTTATTAATGAGATAGTATATGTCGTATTTATACCTCGTGACATCAGCTGTATATAGGTGTGTGTATGTAGGTAGCACGACGACGACGACGACGACGAAGCGCGCGAATGTTGACCCAAAGTCCCTCTCTTTTTCTCTCACTTTCGCTTTTCAACGGGTTCACGCTTGCCGCTCGCTGATTTTTTTGGGTCGAATCAAGCACCTTTGTTGTCGCGATGCCGAATCAGCTCGTCGAATTACGTTGTTGTCGCGCGCGCAAAGAATACAGATACGATCGCGAGAATTTAGATGTGTGCGTCAGCGCTCGAGCTACAAAACCAAGTTTCACATATACTACGTGACAGCAGCAGCAGCAGCAGCAGCAGCAGCAGTAGCCAGCACTAAAGTCGAAAGTCGCTCGTCGTCGCCGAGTATCACAGCGCCATTATAGGATGAATGACGAGAGACGAGGAAGAAAAAAAAGCGCAATTTACAGTTGCAAGAGGAATGCGAATAGCAGCAGCAGCAGCAGCAGCAGCAGCAGTGGTCTGGACACGGGCACTCACTACTCCCATGCTCTGCTGCAGCAGGTCGGGGTAGAGCAGCAGCAGCAGCGGCGACGGCGGCGGCGGCAGCGTTGGTGCACAATCACACGCTCATGCACATACACACACACACAGACACTCAGATCATGAAAGAACAGAACAGAGAGAGACAGAACTGTGCGAGCTGCGGACACGATCGTGAACTGGCTGCACTTGCACACTGGTGACACTGCACGCATATATATGTAAAGAGACGAAAAATATATCTATCGAGTCTGTATCGTGTCAAACGGGTGTCGCGGGTCGTCGTAAGGACGATTTTGTAATATAACGATGTGTGTCGTTGTGCAGCTCGACTCGAGAGGATGACGCGGCTGATATACAGTACAGGTGTATTAAATACGACGCGACGGAGACCGCGACGCGCAGCAGCAGCAGCAGCGGTCGATTATACGTGCGACGAGAATCAGTTGTTATTATAATTGAATCGAGCGAATTCGTATAGTAATGATCGGTGCAGCAACGGAGAGCAGCGAGTCGACAGCGACGCACGAGAGCCCCACGAGACACGACGATTGACGATTATTATTATTATTATTACTGTGTAGCATACAATCACATCGATACGACACACACAGAGACAGACGAGCGAGCCGCGTTCGCGATTACTGAATGCACATTATAATTCGTACAAAGCTCTCGGCAGTTGTCGCAGCAGCAGCAGCAGTAGTCGTGCAGTCTCGTGCTTACTTATGTGTGCCTGCCTGTGCGGATGCAACACTTTTTCAGGCCGAAGCAAAGTGTGTATACATATAGGCATGCGTGTATACACACTGTAACGGCTTGACAGGCCTTTTATTTGCCCATATAATGTCATTATATACATAAACACACGCGCGTCAGGGGCAGCAGCTCGTCGCGCGCGCCATCTTTTGCCGAATCGACGTAAGACGCTCCGAAATTATTACGAAGCGCGCGTGCGAATAACGATCCTAACGCACGAGGTTTATAATTGTCGTAGACGATTTCACCGAATTTTATTTTATACTATCGCGGCCGATCGCGGCAAATCGTGACAAAGCACGAGTGCAGTGCGGTGCAGCCGCGGCAGCTATCGCGCTCGAGTTTAATATAATTAGAGCCGCAACTGCTGCACTCGTGCAGCACGCCTTTGTCCGACACGCGGCTCCGGATAAACGATAAATGCGAAAAATTATTGAAATTCTGCTTGCTGCGATTGCGTAACTGCATCGCGGGTGCCGATCATCGTCGTGTTTCGCGGACAGCAAAAAAAGTACTCCATTCTCGATAGTCAAAGCCATATCTGTAATTGTCCAATTTGTTATAGAGTAACCGAACTGAGATCGTTGCGATCGGTTATAGACATTAGTTACGAAGCCGATCAATCGGAACGATTGACTCGATGGCTTTTTTTTCTTTACCCTGATTGACGTGACACGACTCTGCGTTATAATCTCTCTGCGCTGTTTTTGGCGCTCGATAAACGCAGCTGTGCGTGTTCGCCCGATCAACGAGAGAAAAAAAAAGAGAGGCCTTTAATCGCGAGATTGTTCGTGTTTGCATAAGGTCGGAGCGCGATGATAACAAAGCAATATAGGAAATTCGGGATTTCCGAATAAACGTTTGCTTAAAAGACTGACTCGTTTTTCCTTTTTTTTTTTTTTGCTTTACTTATTTTCTCGTGCCTGACAATTTTTATTCATCTTCGCGCTTATGACAATTTACAAATGCTGTGATCAATTTCAAGAGTTTACATGTATAATCGTGCTTTTTTTGCATCACTAAATCGAAGGGATAGTTTTCATTTTATTATTCTGTATATGACGTACAGTAATTCTATGATAGATCACTTCGCGCGCCTTCGCAGCATTGTGTACCATTTTTGCATAACAATATATTACTCTTCATCACATTGTCATACTCGTAAAAGTTTTCAAAAAAATCAACAAGAAATAATAGTTATACATCTACGCACATTTTTAAACCTATAACACAATTATATATTTACGCTCAGATGTCTCTAATAACGTGATTATTACACTCGTAGTTTAATTTTTTTTTGCGATTTAACTTTACATAGAAAAAAACGTCGATTTATTTATAGATTCTCAGTAGTACAGTCAATATTGGTCGATTGTTCCTTTTTTAAGATTATAACTACACGATTGATTAATGTAATATTTATTGGGATCTGAACGCGTTGGACCAATGTTGCGCTTTTCGATACATATTTTATGCAAAATTTTTACGAAACTTTTCAAACAACAGAAAAAGGGTGACTTGACAAATGTACACTATTCAGTGACGGTTATTAGTACATCAAATTTTTTTTTTTCGATTATTATTTAATTACAAATTTTGATTTTATTACACTATAAGATGGATATTGGTTCCTTTAATCTCACTTTTAGTTTTCTGATGTCAATATTCCAATATATAAAGATTACAGATTTTAGAACATCAACAGTCTTTGGTAAAAAATAAAGAAAAGCAAATTTTTAAGCTCTCGAAATCGTGGTCCAAAAATTGGCCGTGCGTATTTATTTGCAACATCGATACTGTTTTAAAAGAACGGGCATTTTTAAGCGTCAAAATTTTGTTACCTAAATCATCAAATGCTATCTTTGCTATCGTCCATCACGAATGCTTGGATGAGGGTTTTGTCAATTTTTGTCAATAATTTTTTTTTTTAATAAACCAAACTGTAAGAGCTGAAATGACCAATACATCTATTACATGTAGTATACATTTCATAGATTGCACAGTTTGAAGATATTTTTTCAACTTTCACATAAAGTAGAAATTAAAAATATTGTTTAACTGTAATATTATCACGTGGAATGATGTTTTATTTTTTTGCAGAGACCTTATATTTTGGTCGAAAATTAAATTTGATTGTATTTTTCGAGATATGCAAAAATATCGACGTGCGTATTTGCACAACAAAATTTTTAAGTCTTTTACAATACAATGAACAATGTTTCATAATAATTGACTTGCACAAATTTTTTTAACATTATTTATTTGCTCAACATAAGCTCAGTTAAAATTATTTAACTCATTCATTACCTATTTATTTCAAAAACTATTCAAATGATGTGTTTTTCTATTGTACACATACACGTGTTTACTGATAACATAATTTATACATTTGCTCATGACTAAACTATTTATTGGAGATTTACAAAAATGTCAAAATACTGTTACCTCGTGCACTCTGGGGCGCAGACTTAAAAACAATGCGTATATTCAGTCGAAAAACGACAGTTGGTTTTATAAAATATTACAGAATCAGTTGCCTCATAAAAAACAGTTATATTTGTGAAAATTTTTAATTTCTTCCAATTTTCTGACAATTATTTTTAGTAATCAGAATGTATAACAGTTAAATAAGTAACTAGCCATAATGAACTACACGGAGTACCTTTGAACTCTTTGGTAATTTGCGAAAATAAACATGATTTTATAATATAAACTTTTTAAAATATAAATTTTGCTTTTAAAAATCCATATACATTATGCTTTCATAATCATAAAACTTCATAACTACTTTTACGTTCCTCTTATAAATTACATGATTTTTTTTCATCCATTCGTAACAGATGCGTTTGTAAAACTTTTAAAGTACGTTCTTTTTTAACAAATTATTCAAAATAGAGAATCATCAATTTAATAATAATATACTTATAATATTTATGAGCTGAACAATTTACAATAACTTTTTAATCTCGAAAAAAATTGTTTTCATTAAACTCTATGTTATTTTTGACAAAGAGCGCAGAAAACTTAGCAGTCTTTCGTGCTTAGCTTAGTAAATTTTTTTTTCACAAAAGTGAAATATTCCATTTACTTACTATTAATAGCATATCGATAGCACTTCATTATAATTCATTTATGTTTAGTATTGCAGAAAATAGTGCGTTTAATAGCAACGTAAGTAAAAGAACAATGCATTACTCAACGATGAAATACTCAGATTTGAATAAATGGTCTTGAGAAGGAATACACTGAAAATGCTGAACCGGGAGCTCCTTGTGGAAAGAGGAATGAGTCTCGAATTCGTCCGAAATTTGATATGTCCATGAATCAGAGCGTCATAAGTCTGGAAATCTATAATAAAAAGTATTAATCTTTAGATCTTTATGCGTAAATTTACTGCTGTATTTTATCCCAACTTATGAATTTTGTGGTTTTAAAATGTATGAATAGATTCATTCAACCTGGTTAGACAATGTAATTATCAAGAAATAAAAACCAATGAATTTAATCAAATACCAAACAGATAAGTTAGCCCTGCGGTTGATTTGAGTTATATTTATTGACATTGAAATATCATTTTTAAAATCTCCTATATCGTTGTTAAATATCGTGAAAGCTTGAGTAATTAAAAAAGCGTTAGTTGCTGATTAATTTTACAAATTAAAAAATCGTATACTTTTATATACATTTTCTTATCTTTGAACCGATGCCATTGTTTGTAGGACCGAAAACATATCCAAATATGCTCCATATTCACTGAAATATATTTTCGTAGTATCTCATTTTAATAAATAAGATTATTTGAATATTTAAAAATATCATAATAATTCGCTTCTTTAAGTACCCAATCGTTTTTCGAACGTTTCAGAAAAAAATACTCTCAAAAAAGAAATAAATAAAATAATCAACGGTTTTAAAAAATAACTCACCTCATAGGATCTTCGAAATAGTCCGTTGGTACTTGAAATAAATCTGGGCAAATATCATTTTTAAAAATAAATTCTTGAAAAGTGATTTTTGCTGATACTGTTGGGAGAATGGGAATATCAATTTTAACAGGAAATCCTGGAGGTAATTTCATTAATACAAATTCTCTCAATTTTTTAAAATGCTTAAAAGGAGTAATAACTTCAAGTACACTGAGTAGCATATCTACTGTCAAGGGGAAATCTTGACTCATGGCTACAGTTGCTTTAAAAGATTTACTACTTTCTTTGAATACTGAACTTCTTCCAAGTATCGGAAATTCACCAGGTGGTGCTGTTATATATTCTTGCCATGAAAGATTAGTTTGTGGAGGAGGACTTAATGACGTTCTCCTCATAGTATACTGAAATTGAAGTTAATTTTATATTGGGCAATGATAATATAATAAAATAATAATATAAAATTCTACATTACCTCCCCATTTTGAAAACTTTGGGATGAACCTTTAGTCAAGGATTCCATAACTGCTTTATTTTTTTGAAGATCATCTTCACTTAAATGTTCTCTTCTCTTTTTACTTTCGAGCACCATACCATTAATTTGGTAAAAATCTGCTTTGAATGGACCAACCATTTCCTAAATTTCATATTTTTACACATTTAAAACATTTATAAAACAAGTTAAAAACTAATTTCAAAGATTTCCTTACCTTTTTATCTTCTCTAAATATCCAACCAGTTTGAGATCGAGAAAATGTTATACCTTTTGTTGACATTTGTGCAGCAACGATGTCACTTGACATTAAAATATCCACCTCATCCTCAATTTCTAATTCAGTCTCCTATAAAAATTTCAATTGATTGTAATGCAATGCTGATTATTTACAGAATTGTAGATGAGTATATAGATTATGCAAACCTCGTATCTAACTCTCTGATAAAGTTTTGCTTTATTGTCAAGGACGGTTAGAGACTTTCCTGGTTTCTTATCACCATTAAAAATAAAAGATATGTCACCTCGCTCCCACCGCATATCATTAAAATCTACTAGTGTTGTGTCCATTCTAATAGAAGCACCTTTTTTATGAATTTTACAGATGTCTGATGGGAGTATTCTTGAAACTAATGGCACTGTAAATCGAAGTGTAATATAAATTGTAAATATTACTACAATGTACAGATATAACAGTGAGACAAACTTACCCCAGCTTTGAAAATCCCATTTTAATTCCATATAAAAATCACCTATTTCACGTAACGCTGATACTACATTTGGTCTTCTTTCTTCCATCTGTTCTCTCGCATGTTTTTTCATCTTTCTTACCAAAAATGATACTGCAATCAAATTAATACAATGATGACAAGCTGTTAGCTTAAAATTTTGCACATGATTAATGCTTACTGGTTTGACGATCTCCATAACTTATAGCTTCAGCCAATGGACTCCATCCAGCCAAGTTCTTTACTTTAATTGGGGCTTTATGGTTCACTAGCAGTTGTATACAATCTGAAAAGGTTACGTTTATTAGAAAAGAATAATTTGCAGATGGACAAACTGAAACAAATAGATATGAACGATGATTACCTTTTCTACCTAACATTACAGCCAGATGAAGAGGGGTATTGCCTAGAAAATGATACAAATTGAGATTAGTTATGACAGCGTACGCTGATGAAAGTATTGAAAAAATGTGTCAAATACCATGTACATCCTTGGCCGCAATGTCATAAGCGTGCATCATGTTTTGAAGAGTTTTGCAATCACCCTCAAAAACACACTTGTGCAGGGGATACTGTTCCGTTTCTGCCATGATTTTGACTGAGGAACTGAACTTGTTACAAGAGTAAAGCAGCAGCCATTATTTAGGTCGATAACGTACTCATAAAGTTTTACTATAGTCAATCAATTCAACTGGGATTTGCACTCGTTGAAAACCACATTATTATCTGAGCTATAAAGTCCAAGTGATTTCATCATCAGCAGCAGCAGCAGCAGTGATCCCAGTCGATTGTTGTTTGTTGTTGTTGTTGTTGTTGTTGTTGTTGTTGTTGTTGTAGAAAAGTGTCGTCAAGTCGTGGTCGATCGGAGTCAGTTCGCGTCTGCTAGGACTTTGCATGGTGCGACTAGACTAGAATGCGACCCCGTGTATAGATACAAGTCGTTGGCTCTTCCTCTATAAACACGCAACGCGCAAACTGCGCCGACGAGCGTGATTCAGAAAAAAGAGAGAGCCTCTTCCTCTCTCTCTCTGGGTCTGAATAATGGCCAGAAATAAAAATCTCCAAAAAAAGACTCGCGGGCGAGTCAAGGTAGCAGCAGCTCGCGCAAGAGAAGTGTCACTCGACGAGCGCGCAGCACAGCAGCAGCAGCAGCAGCGTGTGCTGGCTGCGTTACGATATATCCGCACGCGCGCCTATACGATTATTGCCAACGCTGGCAAAAAAAAAAACCAACTGCAACCGACTCCGTGAACTGCTGCTGGCCGCGATACATCATATAGGATGGTAAGTGTACGTGACTGCGCGAGAGAGAGAGAGAGAGAGAGCGACTTGTAGGATGCCGCTGCCGACTCTAATTTTTGGCACTCGCGCGCGCGATGAGCTCAGCAGCAGCAGCAGCAGTTGTTGTTGTTGTTATGACTTATACTCCCGCAAAACTGTGTAGGCGGCTCGTTTATGCGCGACGTTGCGTTGCAATAATAATATGTATGTTAATTAATTGGGCAATTGGCGCATGGCTAAACGACACACACACACGCGGGGGCATCGAAGGAGACACTATATGTACTCGTCGAGGCCGAACGAGGGCCTCTCTCTCTCTCTATCTTTGTTGTTTGGTCAATCGTCAACGTATTACACACGCACACACATACGCGAAGGACGTCGCAACGGAGGCCGGAGGATCGTCGTATTTTATATTAGACTAGCCGTCGCGACGTTATACTCGTCGTCGTCTTTCGTCTTTCATGCCTCTCGCGACGACGGCTTCGTCGTCGTAGCAGCCCGCTGCAGTACAGTACGTCAGCCCGCAATAAGGAGCAGCTTAGTCGCCGCCGTCGCTGATTGTCACTACGTACGTCACTGCGCGCATGGTTGCTGCTCGCTCGGGGCTCTCTCGATAGTACGTTATATAGTATATAGTAGGTATAGTATAAGTCAGTCAGAGAGGATCGCCGCCGCACTGGAATTCACTGTGCTTATTATATACGCTGTTTTTCGATTCACAATCGCGTCGAGACGGTAGACAGGCGTGCAGGCGCAGGCTGTGTGCGACTCGTGCTACTACCACTACTCGGCTGCGCGATCGGGCGTACGATATCGCGGGTTATATAGTAATACGCCTCGTACGGACTCTATCACTATGTATATAAATCGCGGGGGATACGTGTACGTACGATATACGTACACTACGCTACTCGACCTGGAAGGTGGCAAATGCCACCTGACGGCCGAGTGCTCGCAACTACTATACACACGAGCTGCTGCGCTGCCGCCACCCCCAAAACCCCCTTGCAACTAAGCCTCCGCGTGTAAAATGCAGCGCGCGGCACATACAACGTAAAAAGGGTTGGTACACGTCAACGCATCGGCCGCGATCCGCGCAAATGTAGCCCGGGCATTTTTTGAGCTACGTTTTTAATTAAATAGTGTAGATGTATCAAATGGATTACTACTCGTTGGGCAGCAGCCGAATTTTCATCCGAATGTAATAATATCGTATGACAATAAACTTTGATTCGCGCAGCCGTTTATTTTTAAACGTAATATAGAGAACCGACTCTTCGATATCGATCTTCCTCCGTATAGATACGATTCGTGTGTATACAGAAAATTAACTCGAGCACGCAATGCGAAGCTTCTTCGACTTTTCCAATCAAATATTCAAATTTCCCTGAAACGAGAAGTATCCCTTTGTATCGCGCTCGAATTCTTTTCTCTCGTCTCTTTTAATTATTAAAAATACGATACTCGCTTTTCTCGTACGAGCAGATAAGTGCAAATTTCGCTCGTTCAAGAAAAAGCTCTCGTCGCGGCGATGATAAAATATTAAGAAATTATCGAGAGAGGAGAGGAAGCAAAAAAAACAACGAGGCAAAACATTCAACGTCGCTATCGGCCTATATTTTCAAAAAAGTCAGTGGAAATTTATCTGCCGATGATAATCAATTGCTCGACTGCACGTGCAATACTATACTAGAGATGACTCGCGCGCGCATAGTGTCGTGTGTGCACGCGTGGAAAATGAGATAGAACGAACAGAAGGAAAAGCGCGCAGAGCTGTAACAACGGAGCACAGTTTTTTAGCCGAGGAGATGTTGAATTCGATACGTAGTACAATACGTACATATAAATCGATGCGCCTCTTGAAAACTAAAACGCCCCAGCGCTATAAAAACAAAAAAAAAGAAACGATAAGCTATCCTATAGGCTATCGGAGATGGCCCATACAAATTATTCAGCGATCTGTGCTGCTCGTCGAGGCGATAAAGAAGAATTTTCGAGGCGACTGCCGCTGCTTCTGGACGGTACTGTATATGGGAAAACAAAAATAGACTTGAACTTTACTCGATGCGCGAAATTCAAGGACGCTGATACATAATTTGTATAATGGTTCCACCAATGAAATTCGTATGGCTATCCTTTAGATACCGTATATCTATCGAGAGATACACCCGATATGAATTCGAAAAAAATGAATTATATATTGGCCCCCTGAAAAATCCCGGGCGCACGTTTGTTGTTTTAAAAAAAGTATCGAGTTGCCGAAACGGTAACGCAATATCCATGGATGATAAACGATTTTTTCTCTTTTTTTTACATCGAATTCAAAGTGAAATATATGCGTGTGATAACTGCGGCACGCGCACGAATTGCTTAGATTTTAGTGGGATTATAAGTAAGTCACAGCTACGGTGTAAAAATAAACACGCCTATGGGAGATTCCTCGAAAATTCGACCGTAAAAAAAAAAAAATAATAATAAAGAGCCGACGATTCTGTAGAGTCATCGAAGCTCGGCATAAAATTCGCGGCATCGCAGGCACGTACATATATTAGACTCGTTACCGCTATATAGGGGTGAGTTTACGTTTTTTTCGCGCGATAATCGTAAATTCGGGCGCGCGCTCGTGAGACATATACGCACACGTGCGGCGGCGGCGGGCGGTAAAATTTCGCGGGTAAAAAAATTTTTTTTTTTAGATCACAAAGACTCGCCTATTCCGCGCGGTGACGTATGTTGCACGCGCAAGACGTTTTTTCGCGCCCCTGCGCGCAATCCATATTTTTATACATTATTATATGCTAGAGTAAAAAATAAAAAAGGGCAAAGAGGGAAGAAAGAAAAAAATGAGTCGCATACGAGCGCAGCGCACAAGCATCAAATCCATCACAGCTGTCGGCGCGCGCGGGCGAGAGGGCCCCCGTAGCAGCAGCGGCAGACACACGACTTTCCAAAATAGTCACGTAGCAGCGCGGAGGGATATTTATTACGAGTATCTGCTGCTGCACTTGTCAACCTAGAGGCTGCTGCTGCTGCACATGCTGCGGCACCGCTGCGACGTGTATAATAAGTTTTCACATGCATCTCTCTCTCACACACTTGCCCGCAGAGATAAGAGCAGCAGCTTGTGTGTGTGTGTGTGCGCTGTGACCGCGTTGACCCGTGTGTGCCACCAAGTCTGCAGCAGCAGCAGCAGCAGCATCAGTAGCCAAGCTTAGTACGCTATTTCTCGCGGCCGGTCACTCGATAATTCCCAAATAGATTATGTATGCTTATAAAGCCGCGAGAGGCAATTGGACGCGCGTCTCATTTTCAATTTATTCTGGCCGTGTTTGTTCGGGTACATAGCTCATAAGCTCGTCTATGTCGCGCCAAACCCTTTGCCGCGTGCACGCAGCACGCATCGCGTCGTCCGTCCGTCCACGCGCATATATGTATAAAATATAAATTGCACGCTTTGATGAAACGCTTTTTAATCAACTCGTAATATCAGACTTGCCCTCTTTGACACAGTATTTCTCAGTTTAGATTTTTATTTCCTCCTCCTTTTTTTTCATCTTGCTTACATCGCAGCAGCAGCGACGACGACTCCTCTCTCTCTTACATACTGATAAGACAAAAATACGTGCGTGTATATAATAATTTTCTTATGAAATTTCGCCAAGCTTTCACATTAATACATAATACGTGCGCTTTTTTTCGAGCGGCGCGTGTATCGACGAGTGTGTCGAAACGGATCGTCGTCGTCGTCGTCGCATCGTTCCGAATTTATAAGCATCAATTTTTATATTAATGAATTAAGATGTCTGCTCTGCTTTACGAGGCTACATGATCGAATCTCGGGGAGGTTTTTTTTCTTTCTTCCATTTAGATTCCTTCATAAACCGGAGCTTTACGAGCGTCTGTCGGCTGAGCTGAAATTTTGGGCAGATGTTCCTGGGCTACTGCTATTCGTAAATATAATTGTGTCATCTCTGGCCAGACACACGCGCGCGCGCGCTAGTAATGGCTCTGGCACTCTCAAGGCTGTGATTCTATACAGCTTCTTTGTTCTTCTAAGTTCACGTGCCTTGACCGCCGATAGATCACAGCTCAATAAACGTTTCGATCTCTGTTTCCATTCGATCGGCAGTACAGTTAATAGTAGTACAATCGAGTCGATGAAAAATTCAAGTGTCTCGATTACGTGGAAACACGTTTGAATTATGACTCGGAGTCTGCGAATTTTCGCCTGTCGCGTGCCTCGATGGGTAAAATATAGGGGATCTCTCCGAATTTCGACTGCGAAAATCGGAATATTATAGCCAGAATAATAGACGTATTTACAGCAACATCTCCTCGGCGAATTATGCAGTCTTACGGTTATCGGTTAATAATACACCCAAGCTCGAATCAATCATCACGATTGCTCGTTATACGACTCGCGCATAGAGAGTCGAGCTTGGGATAAAACATTGCCTCTGTATCTTATCTATACATATATATAGTATACGTATAGAGGCATGTATACAGCATCGGCAGCATATCTCGTATAGATATTCCGAGAAACTTTCGAGACGGGGTATATTATTATAATTCGATTCGAAATATTTTCAGCGAAATATCGAGCGACGAGATTTTTTTGCTGCAGCCCGCAGTAGCAGCTCTTAGTATAGTAGCTCTCGGTGGTGAGAAGGAAAAACGAAAAGAAGAAAAAGATATTTCATTCGTTTCGCCGAGGTAAACGTACGCCGGGCGATTATCCTCTCCTATTGCGCGCGACGATGGTAAATAAAAAATAAAATAGAGCGTCGCGGAGAAAGCCAAAAAAAAACCCAAACTCTAGGCGGTATAGCTACAACAACAGCCGCTCTATTGCACGCGGCCGAGGAAAATGTCACTCGAATTCGTAACAAAAAAAAAAAAAAAAAAAAAAAAAAAAAAAAAAAAAAAAAAAAAAAAAAAAAAAAAAAAAAAAAAAAAAAAAAAAAAAAAAAAAAAAAAAAAAAAAAAAAAAAAAAAAAAAAAAAAAAAAAAAAAAAAAAAAAAAAAAAAAAAAAAAAAAAAAAAAAAAAAAAAAAAAAAAAAAAAAAAAAAAAAAAAAAAAAAAAAAAAAAAAAAAAAAAAAAAAAAAAAAAAAAAAAAAAAAAAAAAAAAAAAAAAAAAAAAAAAAAAAAAAAAAAAAAAAAAAAAAAAAAAAAAAAAAAAAAAAAAAAAAAAAAAAAAAAAAAATAGAAGAAGATGAAGCGCGAAATATGTGTGTCGACGATGGATAGATATATGCGCCTTTTGAGATATGTATTTCGTATTATGCTGATTCAGCATTGACGCGTCGTGGCCATATTATACACACACACACTGCACGAGAGTGACTTTCTTTCGAGGAAATGTACGGAAGGTCTTGAACCTCCGGCGAGTGCACGAGTGCAGAGCACATTTCGCCGCGTTCAATCGCATCTCCGTTCTCGCTCGCTCGCTGCATATTATTATCACCGAAGACTTTTGAACACGCGCAAACATCGGCCTCCTGTATAACGAAGCATATCTGAGCTGCTATTTGTTCATATTCCAATTATACAAGAATATCGATGGATAAATACGGTAGCTTGAAAAATTAGCGCTGTATAAAACAAAAACAAAAAGAAGAGAGAAAGAACAAGAGAGCCCCTCTGATCTAATGTGGCGAAATTTTCATATTATATTATTAATTAACGATCCCGGAATGAGGGGGCCGACAGCAGCAGCAGCAGCAGCATCGTTTTATGAATCACATTGAGTTATTATTGTATTTCCCTTTACAATTGAAAACGATTATTTTTAATCGCGTCGTAAAACGTTGCTGGTATTACGCATGCGGCCCTGATAGCCTCGCGGGTAAAAATTGACCGTCGTAAATAACACGACGACGACGACGATGATGATTTTTCGCCGATCGCGCATAAGCGAAAAGTCCGCGCAGACATAATATTATACATTATATTATGCGTAAATAGTGCACCACTCGAACAATTGCAGCTGGCGTATTATGTACGCGCAGATTTTCGTCACTCGCTCGCTCTCGGCTCTTATTTTATTTATTTTTTTTTTTCCACTCTACATTTAATAATTCGATTCGAGTTGGAAATCTATATTACTGACTCATGACGATCATCGTGTGGCGAGCTTATCGTCGTCGAGCTTCGGCTCGAGTCGCATGCACGACACGAGTACAGTAGGTGCTGCGCTTAGAGAAACTGCAAAAACTGCAAAAACTGCGCGAGGGGGAAAAAAATTATTGATTCAACTTTCTTGCCGGTCAAGTATCGTGCATAATATTATAAAAAAAAATACGACTTTGATGGAAAAACGCGCTTGCATTTACAAATCACCGCGAGCAGATAGTCGCGCTTATCTCTCGTTACGTGAATTTTTTTCTTCTCCGCCACTGCGGAGAATTATTCCTTCGCGTATATGTGCATACGTTAATGGTCCTTGTAGCGATTTTCGTTGGCGAGCATCGTGTGAAAATCGTTTATTCGCGCCAGGGGCTATACAGATTGTACAAATGGCCCGAGAAGTATTTTGAAGTTTCATAGGGGACATTATTTTGTAAACTTCACGCGAAACTGTCAAAAAACGGTTGAGTCACGCGCGCGCGACGCGCCGCTCGGGGACTCTTTTTTTCAAAACAGAAACCTCATAGCGCGTGTACGTATGCGAAGCTCGGTTCCCCCCTCGCGATGCTTAGAGATCGGCAGACAAAGAAACGTCGCGCGCATTCGGGCGCAAAACTGCCAACACAAACACACGATCATCTCTCTCGATCGTAGTCTCTTTGTCGTGCTCTCGGACCCATTGTACCGAATTTTAAAAACGTGCCTAGCAATACGACTTGACTCTCCCCCTTATGGGGGATAAAAATCATAAAGCAGGTTAACGACCTTGGAATCGGTACAAAGGAATTGGTACAGAGACTAGAGTATACATCGAGGCCAAAATAGCAACACAAACAACAACAAGACAACATTTTCAGGGAAAAAATCGTGAGAAAGATCTCGTATGCTAGCCGGGGGTGGTTTATTGGCCTGTGGTCATTTCTCGCGATGGTTTATCGACACGAGCAGCATCAGCAGCAGCATCTGGTCAACAAGTGCGAGCGTAAATCCCGCAACACTTAGTCAACATTATTGGATCATTAGAGAGAGAGAGAGAAAGAGAGAGAGAAAGAACGATAGAGACAGAGCAAGAGATGCTGCTGCTGCTGCGCGAACAGTCGAGTAGGGATGATCGTCGTCGGCGCGCGTGGGAGAGAGGGAGGGGAATCGAGAACATAAAAGCAAGCTGTCAAGAAAGCCTCGGAGTCTGTGGTGTTCTCAACGGAGAGCGCTCGTACCCCCGCTAAAAACAAACTTTTATCGGCTCTGCTCTTTCTCGTGCTCTGTGCCTCTGTTTTTCTCCATAGAAACGAGTGGAAGCTCGTTGAGCTAACACACCACTACTGACTGCCGCTGCTACTGCTCTACTACCGCCGCTGCTGACTGACTGCTCCCTTCCTTATTCGAGGCATCCACTGCTACTTTTAGGATATATTTATATATTCAGCCAGTCGGACCCGCGGAATCATTTACGTTACTGGCAGGCGACCGGCAACACAGACAGCGCAGACATGGGACACCCACCCCGGCTATGGACCGCGGGTCTCATAGCCTGCTCGCTGCTACTCTTGGCACAGCCTTCCTATTCCAGTGAGTTTCTTTTTTGCCTTTGTTTATTATTTAAAATCAAAGAAATAAATCTTCTCTCTTTGCTTGACAAAACTCGCGCGATTGTCTTGTGCATGGTAACTTGATACTTTGCACGAAAAATCGCGCTGCTATTGACTATACCGCTTAAAAAGAGCCTCGATCGCATACTCGAAGGGAGAGAGATTTCAATGCCCGTGAGTGCGCGCGCTGGGCTTCGTTACCGAACTCCTGCCATTTACCGATTTATGCGCGGTCGAATATTAAAATCAGTGTTAGTTTTGAAAATCTTTCCAACTACAATTTAATTGAAACATTTGCCGTACGTGTAAATTTTTTCTCTACCCATAATACGAGCGATTACATTTGCTTCCGAGCGATCGGCGGCAGTTTAAATCTTAAATGTCAAGTCGAAAGTAACGCATCCGCTCGTATTAATTTAATCGTCGAGCGATGCTTCGCTCGCGCGCGATCCGACTTTTATGATGCCGATTTACAAAAGGGCCCAATTGCCGTGTACGTATACGAGATCGGTAGCAGCAGCAGCTGCATCAATCGACATCGTCATCCTCTTGACTTTTTTTTTTTTACGATCGACCACATAGTACACCAGGCCCCATTTCACAGAGCCACTTGAAATTTGATCGCTGCTCGATCCGTACGTATCAATGCGAGTGATCGCGTCGCGCCCGATCTAGAACGTTCGCGAGCCGTCGCAGCTTGCGCGTAACGGCCTGACAAAGGGGTCGTTCTCTTTAAATAGTAAACGATGGGAAGAGAGAGAGAGAAAAAGAGAGTCACGAACGAGTGCATAGAGTGAGAGAGAGAGAGAGAGAGTAAAAGAGAGTAAAGCTCCACTCGGCTGCTAAAGCGCACCCAATGAGGTCCCATGCACTAATGAAATGATTACGCGCCGTATAGCAGCCCCGTGCATACATACGCGCAGATACACAGCAGCCACAGCAGGCACGACATATAATAACGTGTGTATGTATACACTTTCGACCGGACATTTGGTAGATTGATCTCCCCGGCCGGCGGCGGCGAGTTCCATGATGCTCTGTTCTCTATAGCAGCAATAGCAGCAGCAGCTGTGGTGGCAGCTCAAAGCGTATAATGTACTTCTCGCTTTGTCAATCTGCGCGGATAAAACGACGACTACGTATCGCGACGTCGCCGCCGTCGCCGCCGCCTCCAAACCTACTATCGTAAAATCAAATTGCACTCATAAAAACTATTAAACCCGATTCAATGGGGTGTATTGTGCATGCGGTCGAGCCGAGAGTGAATAGACACCTGTGACGCGTCAATCGGTGCAAGCACCGAAACGACGATCGTGTCGACAACAACAACAACAACAACAATAACAACTGCTGCTGCTGCACTCGCCCAATTTTTTTCTATATAACGCAGTCAATGCCGATAACGATCGAGTTTTATGCCGACGACGACGAGACGAGTTTCTTTTCATTTTCTTTTTCAATGCGCGCGCGCGCGCAGGGTCAGAGTGCATCGATTCGTACAATTGATTAAAATATTTTTAATATTTCGCTTTATCCTCGAGCGCGCGGATAGCATTTGTCAGCGCGATATAATAACGCTGTATCGAGCTTTCGACGACGCGAGCTTCAAAACAACACGTTCGCGCCAATTATGCTCGGGTTAAAATTTTTTGCACGACGGAAAAATCATCGTAGATATATATAATGCTCGAGCTTGATAAACATTTTTACGCAAGCCTCTCAGCTCTCGCTCGTTTTCCATAGTATAAAAGATGAATCGCCTCCTCCTCGCGTCTCTCCGCGATATGATGGATTATTTTCAATTATGAATTATGTGCTGCTGCTGCTGATGTTGATCGAGCGCGCGAAGGGGTGTACATTTTATATGCGATCGTTTATGCATGCTTGACATTCAGGCGACTTTAACCTTTTTGATAAAAATTCATCGTTCGGCTCTTTCTCTCGCTTGCTTATATACATTGTTGATAATTGGAGCTTTTTTTTCTCTCTTTCTCGCTTTGCCTTGTTTATCGGTTCTTTGATAAATGACGGATAAACAAGAGCGAAGAAACGAGCGAGAGAGAAGCCGAGACCAACACTGATATGATACAGCATAGGATATATATCACATAGACATTCGAATAAAAAAGATTTCTTCTGAAATTCGATGGCATTACTGCTGCTGCTGCTGCTGCGTGTGAAATACAATTTATGTGTATCGATCTTGGCACGTGACTCATATTATATTGCACTGACGCGGCCGCGCTGGATTTTTTCCCGCTATCTTCGAGAAATGTGTGCTGTAAAAATAACATATTTAGTGTGTGTGTGTGTGCGAGATTACGGGTCACGACGAGAGTCAAGCCGATTATCGATTTATCGCTGCTGACCCCGCTACTGAACTTTTCTCTCTCTCTCTCTCTCTTGTTAACCAATGAGTGTGTTAGCCTACACATATACACAAACATGTACATAAATGAAACTAATGTATGCGCGCGTGTCTGCGAGCTTCTTCTTCTCTCGCATCATTATCTAATGCCGTGGAGATTGAATGTATCCTGTTTTTTTTATTATTATTTTTTTTTTTTTTAACAGCGCAAACCGCTAAACATTTCCACGCGATGATTAGCATATTTTATTATTGATATTATACCGAGAAACTAATTCTCTATCGAATATAATACTCGCATAATAACTCGGAATAATTTACGTCTACGACGTCGAATTGGCGCGGTTGATTTTTTTCCATCGCGTCTTCATTGTTTTTACTCGTGACTCGCGGACGGAGATGCGTTACGATTGAATCCTCTTCTTTTTGTCGCAGATAAATGCACGACCGGGTGCCATGGCATGCACTCGGACAAATCCTACAAAGAGGGACAGACGTACTCCTACGCGTTGGAGGGCACGTCGACGACGTCGGTGAGCGAGGGCCAAGGCGACGCCCAGCTCAAGCTCAAAGCCGACGTCGAGGTGGCCATCAAGCCCGACTGCATCAGACAAGTCAGACTGAAGAATGTCCAAGTTAACGGAGCCGTAAGTAGCATGATACGGATCTATGAAATACTTGTACATTATGAAAAAAAAAAATACATTTTTTATGTTTTTCCGTGCCGCACAGCCCGTTTCCAATCAAAACGTGGAGAAACACGCGCTCCAGTTCAACTATCATCACGGGCACATCGACACGGAGCTATGCGCCGAAGCCGGAGACACCGAGGCCTCCTTGAACATCAAGAGGGCCGTGATCTCACTGCTGCAAGCCTCCGTTCTGCAAGACGAAGGTTCGACCACACGACACGAGGTAAATAATTCGCTCCAGAATTTGCATTTTAAGCAAACTTCGCAGTTCTCTTGAAATAAATACGTACGTCGTTTTTTTCCAACAGGTCGACATTTTCGGAGGCTGCATAACCGACTTCACCTTCTCCAAGGAGGGCGACGTCCAGATAGTGCAGAAGAACAAAAACTTAAATAGCTGCTCCAACAGAGAGAATGTGAAACAAGGATTGTTCTCGGGCATCGTGAACCCGGCCGCGGGCGTCACCTCGACGCCGATCATCGGCTCGCAGCAGAAGGTCGAGCAGCGCTTCAAGGCCGGCATCCTCGAAAAAGCCACCTCGACCGAGACCTACAAGCTGCGGCCGTTCAGCAACGGCGACGCCGGCGCCAAGACCATCGTCGAGACCACCCTCACCTTGAAGGGCGCCAAGGACGACGCGACCCCAGCGGCTCCGGTGAGCCAGCCGAAGTCGCTCATCTTCCAGGTGCCTCATCCGCAGGTCAAGTCGTCGGTCGACGCGCTGGAGAAAGCTCTGCAAGCCATCCACAAGGACTCGGCCGACGCCGTGAGACCCGAGGAGGCGCGCAAATTCTCCGAGCTCATCAGGGTGCTGCGCACGAGCAACCGCAAGGACATCCTCACGATCTACCACAGAATCAAGGCCGGCGCCGGCTACGACAAGGAGAAGGACAAGAAGGTCCTTTTGGATGCCCTGTACCGCACCGGAACCGGCGAGGCCGCCGAGGTCGTCGTCGAGCTCATCAAGAACAAGGAGATCAGCGACGCCCAGGCGCTCCTCTACTACGCCAGTCTGGCCTTCATCCAGCACGTGAATCTGCCCTCGGTCACGGCCATCGTCACCCTCCTCGACCAGCCCAATCTCCACCGCATCGGCTACCTCGGCGTGGGCCAGATCATCGGCAAGTACTGCCAGCATCACGTCTGCGAGAACGTGCCCGAGGTCAAGACGGCCCTGGCCAAGATCGCGTCCAAGGTCAAGGACGGCAAGGCCGACAAGCGCGCCGACGAGGATCTCGTAATAGCCGCGCTCAAGGCCCTCGGTAACGCCAAGTACCTGGACGAGGCCACCTCCACAAAACTCGCAAACATCGCCGCCGACAAGAAGGTGCGCAATCGCGTGCGCGTGGCCGCCATCGAGGCGCTCCCGACCAAGTGCGCCATGAGCTGGAAGAAGATCCTGTTCAAGCCGTTCGCCGATCAGGAGGAGGACAGCGAGATCCGCATCAAGGCCTACCTTGCGTTCGTGGCTTGCCCGTGCGCCGCCGCCGCGGCCAAGATCAAGGAGGTCCTCGACCAGGAGAAGGTCTACCAGGTGGGCTCGTTCATCCAGTCGCATCTGCGCAATCTTCGCGCCTCCGCAGATCCGTTCAAGGCGCACGCCAAGGCCCACCTGGAGAACATCAAGCCGCGCACCAAGTTCCCCGAGGACTGGCGCAAGTTCTCCTTCAACAACGAGCTCTCCTACGACTTCGACGCGTTCGGCGTCGGCTCCACGGCCGACAGCAACGTCATCTTCAGCCAGAACAGCTTTGTGCCGCGCTCGGCCTCTCTCAATCTCACCACGGAGCTGTTCGGCCACTCGTTCAACTTCCTCGAGCTCAATGGTCGCGCGGAGAATCTCGACCGCGTGATCGAGCACTTCCTCGGGCCCAAGGGCGTCGTGCCCAACGAGAAGCCCAAGGACGCCGTGAAGACCGGCTACGGCAAGCTCAAGAGTCTGTCGAACTACATCAGCAAGCGTCTGGAGAAGAGGTCGAAGCGCGAGGTGAAGCAGGCCGACCTCGACAAGTTCGCCAACAGCGTGCAGCTGCGCGACAACGAGGTCGACGAGGATCTCGACCTAGACCTGTCCATCAAGCTGTTCGGCGTCGAGATCGCCTTCCTGAGCTACGGCGGCTCCGGCCAGTCCTACACGCCCCAGCAGGTGATCGACAAAATTCTGGAGCGCTTCGACCAGGGCGTGAGCAAGATCAAGAATCTCAACTACGACATCGAGAATCACGTGCACTTCCTCGAGGCCGAGTTCGTCTACCCGACGGCCCTCGGTCTGTCGCTGAACCTCGGCATGACCGGCTCGAGCGTGGTGCGCAGCAAGACCAACACCAAGATCGACATCTCGCAGATGCTGGCCGACCCCAAGAACGCCAACTTCAAGATCGCCCTCGAGCCCTCGGCCTCGATCGAGTTCGTCGGCGACCTCAAGGTCGAGGACGGCTTCGGCTCCGAGTCCGGCATACGTCTCGTCACCACTCTGCACACCGCCACGGGCTACGATCTCAACGTCAAGGTGCTCGACGGCAAGGGCGTCGACGTCACCCTCGGGCTGCCCAAGAAGAAGCAGGAGATCATCAACGTCTCCAGCGACGTACTCTTCAGCAACGGCAAAGCCGACAAGTACACCCCGGTCAAGTTCAGCAAGGGCAAGGACCGATCGGACTGCTTCGATCAGTTCACCGCCCCGCTGGGACTCACCGTTTGCGGCCATCTGTCCTACCCGTACGACAACGTGGCGTCGCTGCAGAAGAAGCCGCTCTATCCCCTGAGCGGACCGTTCAAATTCTACGCGACCATCGAGAACAACGACGTGACCAGCTATCACTTCAAGGCCCTCTACAACAACAAGAACCCGAAGGATCGCTCCCTGGAGATCGTCCTCGAGACGCCCAACAGCCGAACGCCGAGATTCGTCTCGCTGACGGCTCAGGCCGCCATGGATCCGGATCTCAAGCTCAAGGTGGCCTTCGACTCGCCGATCAAGAAGGCCTCGGCCGAGGCTCTGGTCAAGGACTACACCGTGACGGTCACCGTCAAGAACGACCAGATCGAGTACTTCGCCAAGGGCGGCGTCGAGCTCATCAGCGGCAACAAGTACAAGCCCATCCTCGAGTACAAGGTGCCGGAGCACATCGAGAAGCTGGCCGGTGGCAAGGCCAAGAACAAGGGCCAGATGCACCAGGTACAGGGTACCATCGAGGTGGCCGATCACGAGGGCGGCAAGAAGTACGCCTTCAACGACGTGCAGCTCGTCTCGAACGGCCGCAAGGTCGTCGGTATCGACGGCAAAGCCGCCGTGACGCCGACCTCCGTCAACGTCGACATCAGCTTGGGCTACGCCGACGAGAAGCTGGGACTCAAGGTCGACAGCAAGAAACTCGGCGAGCTGCACTACACTCTGGTGGCCTCGGCCCTGCCCGACAAGAATCCGGCCAACGGCTTCGGCCTCGAATGGGACTTCAACCTGCAAAAGTCCACCTTCGATCATAAATTAGCTTTCACTCAAGGACCCGATCTCAAATCAGAAAACAATCGTCTCTTGCTCGTGCAGAAGGCCGAGCTCAATCCGGACCCGGAGAAGTTCTCCTTGTCGACCAACAACCAGCTCGCCTATCCCAGAGTCGGCCTGGCTGTCAAACTCGACGCTAAATTGACCAAGAACTCGGTCAACGCCGACGTCGACGTCAAGTACGAGAACTTCAAACTTGGATCTCAGCTCAACGGCAAGGTGAACGCCAACAAACCGGGCGACTACGACATCGACTTCAGCGCCGACGTGCTGGAGAACAAGGTCAAGCTCTTGGCCAAGCGCACCATCCTCGAGGAGAGCAAGAGCAAATTCGAGAACTCCCTGAAACTCACACCGGGAGGTACTTATCAAGCCGACGCCACGGTCAAGCATCAGACCAAGAAGAACGACATCAACGTGGCGGTCGACGCCGACATCAACTTGAACGGGAAAAAATTGAAGGTCGACACCGGTCTCGAGTGCAATCCCGACAAAGTCAACAATCACGTACAGATCATCGCCAACGGCATCAAGTACGTCGACTACAAATTGAACGTGAAGAAGGGCTCGGCGCCCAGCGGCAGCCTCGTGCTCAATCTGAAGAGCTACCTGGTCACCAACGGCCAGTTCAGCTACAAGGACGGCAAGGGCAGCGGCAACATCAACATCGAGATACCCAAGATCAATCGCAAGATCAAGGGCACCGGCGACGTGAGCGTCGCAGGATCCAAGCACGTGGCCAATCTCGAGCTCGCCTACGACGCCGACAAGGAGCCCAGCAAGAAGATCAAGCTGTCGAGCAACTCGGACTTCACCAAGACCTCGCTCGACTCCAAGAACGTCCTGGAGATCCTGAGCTACAAGACCGAGGTCAACGTCAAGGGTACGCGCCAGGGCGACTTTCTGAACGGCAAGCAGGACATCGATCTCGAGGTGACGCTGCCCAACGGCCGCCACCTGACCGTCAAGGCCAATCGCGCCGCCACCAAGAAGGACGACAAGCTGACCGTCAAGGCACAGGGCGAGGTCGCCGATCAGGTGACCAAGGGCGGCGAGACGAGGAAGATCGTCGCCTCGGCCGACGTCAACGTCGCCAACGCCAAAGAGCGTCTGTTCGACACCGTCTACGACATCAAGTACATTCACAGCGACGGAAAGGACTTCGGCACCAAGATCAAGGCCAAGCACGAGGCCAAACCGGATTCCGAGAAGAAATCGGGCGCCGTCGACGTTGGCTTTTCGGGTAGCTTGATCGGAACCACCTTGGGAGGTTTCGTCAACTCGGAGTACGACAAGGAGAGCCTCTACCTCAAGGGAGGAATCTCGCGTGGAAGCGACATCGAATTGGTGGTACGTTGAATTTCTATATCGATAACGATTCAATTCGTTGATAACCAAGATATCACAATTTTTGTGTCCAATTTCAGGGTGACATGCTGTGGGCAAGCGGAAACAACGTCGACAAACCGGGCGTGTTCAAGGGCGAAGTGACCGGCAAATTCCCATCAGAAAAACTGAAGAACTTCGTGTTCACATACGACGAGACGGTGCTGGAGCAGGCGCACGAGGGCGGCGTCTGGGAGTACATCAAGTACAAGAATCTCACCTACAACGACGACAAGAAGATCAAGCTGCACACGCACTGGCGCCAGACCGGCAAGGAGAACTACGAGGATCAGGGCAAGTTCGATCGTACCTTCCATCTGACGCTGAAGACCGACGGCAAGCCCGACTTCGAGATCCAGGACGATCACCATCACGACCTGACCGGCGAGCAGAAGAAGCTGTCCAGGCAGGGATTCTACAAGTTGGGCGGCAAGGGATTCACCCACGATCTCAATGTCGAATGGAACACGGACTTGTCCAAGGCCTCGGTCGACGGCAAATTCTCCACTCCGTTCGAGAGGGTCAAGAGCGTCGAGATCAAGGGCGAGCACAAGCGCGACGGCGACAAGTCGAGAAAGACCGACGTGGCGCTGACCGTCGACGGCGTCAAGTACACGCAGACGACCGAGATCGAGCTCAACCAGGACAATCCCGGCATCCACCTGGTGTTCACCTGTCCGGCGGGCACGACCGAGCTGCTGGCCAAATTCAAGAAGCTCGGCGACAACGAGTACACCGGCGAGTACAAGCTCGCGACGCCCAAGGGCTTCGTCACCCTCGACGGCAAGGTCAAGCTCGAGAGCGTCGACGACTTCGTCGTCAGCCTGAACTTCGACAGCGACAAGTTCAAGCATCGCAAGATCCACGCCGAGGTGGCCAACAAGCCGAGCAACGGCGACGGACGCCGTATCTTCGTCACCGTGACCAGCGACGGCAAGAACCTCGTCACGGGCAGCACCAATTACAAGAAGCACGACGAGGAGGAGGCGGGCAAATTCACCCTGGAGGGTAGCGGCCAGCTGCAGATCGGCGAGGACACCAAGTCGTCCTCCTTCAAGTACGTGCGCAAGCAGCTGACGCGCGAGGCCGACAAGGAGGTCGGCGTCGCCATCAAGCTGAACGCCAGCTTCGGGCCCGCGGCGATCGTCGGCGAGCTCAAGCTGTCCGACAAGGAGGTGCACGTGTTCAACAGCTACTGCGAGCAGAGCAAGGAGTGCGCCCACTTCAAGCTCCAGTCCACCCTCAACACGGACAAACGCTCCTACCTCAATCAGAATCTCCAGGTGGAGGTGAATCTCAAAAAGTTCAACGTGCCGATCGAGTTCGGCCTGCAGACGACCACCAAGTACGCCGACCTGTCGCTCGATCATCAGGCCAATCTTTACCTGCACTCGTCCAAGGACCGCACCCAGTACAACTACCACGTGTACGTCAACAAGCGCGAGTCCGCCGCGGTGCTCTCGCTGCCCAGTCGCGAGCTGGCCGTCGTGGCCTTCCACGACATACCGGCGATCAAGCACTCGGGCGCTTACAAGATCGACGTGTCGCTCTATCTCGACCGCAAGAACAAGCCCACGGAGAAGACCAGCCTCGTCTTGGCGGGCGACGTCAAGGTCGACAAGAACACCGTGGGCATCAACGGCGAGGCCAAATTCACCTACCCGACGCAGACCAAGGATCTCGTGGTCAAGGGCAACATGCTCGCGGGCGTCGGCGAGCAGCTGTTCACGGGCAACGTCGATCTCGACGTGTTCGCCAGCAAGAACGACAAGATCACCGTCAATGCCCGGGTGGCTCGCTCCGCCATACCCAAGGGCTACAACGTCACCGGCAACTTCAACGTGCTGAGCAAGGGCCAGCAGTTGGACGTCAAGTCCGACAATCACTTCGCGGTGTCGTCGTCGTCGATCGACGTCGGGGCGACCCTCCACTACACCGACAAGGCCAAGCAGCCCAAGTCGCTGGGCGCCGACTTCACGGCCGACCCGAAGAAGGTCGAGGTCTACGTCTACGTGCCGGGCAAGGATCTGCTCAAGTACCGGATGAACATCGACATCGCCAAGGACGCCCAAAAAGTCTCTGCCGAAGCAGCGGTGCTCGGTAACAAGCCCCGAGTGGCCAATCTCGAGGTCAAGGACTACAACAGCTTCAAGTTCGATCTGGGCACCAAGGACGACGACAAGAACAAGCTGACGGCCAACGGCAAGGTCGTGCTCGGCCAGCTGGCCGAGATTCACGCGGACGCCTTCAAGCAGGGCGCCAAACTGGACCTGTTCCACCTGCTGATCCACCTGGACGAGGGCAAATTCATGAAGCCCGACTTCGCCTACAGCAGCAAGAACATCATCGAGGTCGCACACATGGTGCGCGAGCATCTGATCCAGCACGTGAAGGACGTCAAGGCCGTGGGCGAGGAGATCGGCAAAGAGGTCGTGGTCGAGTTCGGCGATCTGTTCGAGCACCTCAAGAAGGCTCAGCCGAGCTTGAAGTCATTGATCGCCTACTTCGAGGGTGAGCTGACGAAGCTCAAGAACGAGCTGCACGCCGACGCCGCAGTCAAGGAGATCCAAGAGTCGCTGAACAAGTCCTTCGGCGGTATCATCGCCGCGGTGACCGAGGCCGTGAAGAAGTTCGCCGAGCACTACGAGGAGCTGCGCGACCATCTCAACGAGATCTGCAACAAGTTCCAGGAGGCCGTGAAAGCCACCTATCCGCAGCTCAAGGAATCCTTCGACAAGATCTTCCAGGTAGCCGTGAAGATCTCCGACTCCGTGGCCAAATTGGCCACCGCCTACGCCGAGGCCATCCTCAAGATCGTCAACGAGCACCAGAAGGACATCGAGGAGATCGTCGGTGTCGCCTCGGACATCGTCCAGGACGTGGCCAAGATCGTGCTCAAGGGCGCCAGCCAGATCGAGAAGGAGGTGAAGGAGTTCGTGCAGCTGCTCTCGCAGCAGGTGCGAGCTCTGCCCGTCTACGAGATGGCCCAGAACCTCTACAAGGAGGCCGTCAATTATCGCATACCCGACTACGTGATAGCGCCCATCGAGGAGTTCTGCAACAACATCAAGAACATCCTGCCGACGCAGGAGCTCAAGGACCTGTTCGGCAGCGTCTACTCGTACGTCATCAAGCACGCGAGACACGAGAAGGTGGACAACGGCAGCGAGTTGAAGAAGATCTACTCGCAGACGGTGGGCGCGATTCACTCGCTGCTGGCCCTCGTGCAGTCGCACGCCACCGCCGAGAACGTATTCGGCTTCCTGGAGGCGCAGCTGCCCTTCGACATCAGCTACCTGCGCAGACTGCCCGGTCTGTCGACCGTGCGCGTCTCCGTGCTCAGACTGCTGATGAATCGCGAACTGCCGACCATCTTCGATCTGTACTACACTTACAGGTAATTGACTTATTTTCCAATCGATGATATCGTTTCTGCTTGGGAATATTTCACGCTGATGCGACGTATTTGTATGTTTCTCAGACCACTCCACGATGTGGAAGACTCCATTCCACCGGCCAAGAAGTACGGCACGTTCTCGGACGGCGGACACGTCGTGACCTTCGACGGCAGCCAGTACGTCTTCACGGGAGCTTGCAGCTACATCCTGGCTCAGGACATGAAGGACGGCAACTTCTCGGTCGTGGGCGAGTACGCGAGCGGCAATCTCGTCAGCGTGACCATGACCGAACCCGGCGAGAGCATAACCATCAAGTCCAACGGAAACGTAAGCAAAACATTTTATTTATCTCGCCTCGTTTCATTCTCGTGTGTAATTTTAATTATTCTCCGTCTGCAGTTGCTCGTTAACAACAAGCCCGCCGACTACCCGGCCAGCACCAAGAACCTGATGGCTCACTTGGCGGCACCGCTGCGCAAGATCATCTCCAAGTACGGCGCCAAGCTCGTCTGCAACATCGGCTCCGGCGGCATGTCCTGCTACCTCAGAGTCTCGGGCTACTACCACGGCAGACTTCGCGGTCTCCTCGGCGACGCCAACAACGAGCCCTCGGACGACTACATCCTGCCGAGCGGCAAAGTCGCCGCGAGCGCCAGCGACCTCGTCAACGCCTACAAGCTCAATCCCAGCTGCGCGGCTGCCCAGGCCAAGGAGGGCGAGGCCGCCAGAGCTCCGATCTGCACCAAGTACTTCTCGGGCAAGTCGTCGCTGACTCCGTGCTTCAACTACGAGGACCCGCGGCTGTTCCGGGCCAGCTGCGATCAGCTGGTCGCGGCGGGCAACAAGAACGGCGCCTGCGTCGTCGCCTCGGCCTACGTGACCAAGTGCCTCGTGAAGAACGTCTATGTGAGCCTGCCCAACGAGTGCGTCCAGTGCAAGGTGGGCGACAACAGCATCAACGGCGGCGACAGCTTCAGCGTGAAGATCCCAACCAAGCAGGCCGACATCGTGTTCATCGTCGAGCAGGAGTCCGACAACGAGAAGACCTTCAAGGACCTGATCAAGCCCGTGATGCAGGAGCTCAAGTCCGAGCTCAAGCAGCACGGCATCACGGACGTGCACATCGGCCTGATCGGCTTCGGCGAGTCCATCAGGAAGCCCCAGCACTACTCGTCCAACAACAACGCCAACATCGAGGGCGGCGGCGACATCGGCCACATGAGCTTCCCGAGCAGCCGGGACCCGCTCGTCACCATGGACGAGGCCGTGGAGGAGAAGGGCTTCGGCCCCAAGACCGTGCAGTACGTCAAGCAGAGGCTCGACGTCGAGCTCGGCACCTTCAAGGTCACGGACGCCTACGAGGCCGGCATCAGGTATCCCTTCAGAGCGGGAGCCGCCAAGGCCGTCGTCGGCGTCATCAGCCAGCCCTGCGAGAAGAGTCCGCTATCTCCGTTCTCGGTAAGATAATAATCGACGATGATTTTTTTCTGTTGGAAAATTTCGCCTTTACTCATCTCTCTCTTCGTGCCTCGCAGTTGCAAGATTACAGACTGATTCTCGGCTACGACCTGTACAATCGCATGGGTCTGACGTACTATCACGTGTCGCCTCTGACCGAGATCGAAGTGGCCGGCAAGCCAGCGAAGAACGTCGTCGGCAAGGACAAGAACTACGTGTACACGTTCGCCGACAGCAAAAAGAAGCCGCTCGAGGGCGACCCCGAGTTGGAGATCGAACTGGACGAGGAAGATGTCTGCGCGAACTTCGCCATCAACGTGAGTTTTTTTTTCTCGTATTAACTAAAAAAAAAAAAAAGTAAAATATTCGTATCGATCGCTCATCGACGAAAATGTTTGCAGACCGGCGGTACCGCGTTCCAGACGCGAAACTTCCTCGAAGCCAAGCCCAACCAGCAGGCTCAGTACGTTAAGGTCGCTGCCCGAAGGATAGCCGAGAACATGGCCAATGTCGAGCTTGAGGAGGACTGCGTGTGCGGCGCCGAGGCCGGATTCAGCCACACCGCTCAGGTCGTCGCTCGTCCTAGATGCAAAATCGTCAATCGCGTTGACAAGGTAAGCAAAAAAAATCAACTTTTTTTCCCCCCATTTCGGAGAGTTTCATTTCGATTTCGAGACTCACACGCATCGTCTATTTTTTTTCGTTTTGCAGAGAGTAACGCCAAAAGCTGCGTAAGCACAGCGAGCGACCGCACCGCAAGCCGACTGATTAAGTAATATAAACAACGATTTATTAATTAATTGGCTCTAGAGTATTCGTTATTTTTCCCCGCGAAGAGTAACGCTGTTTGAGCCGTTTTTTTTTATACATTTTTTTATGTACCGCGCAAATGACAATTGATTTGTATTTTTTTTGTTTGTTTTTAAATAATGTTATAAAACTTACCGATGGAAAACATTTAATCAGAAGACGATCAAATTATGTACATATAGAGAAAAGTTTTTATGTAATACAAAAAAAAAAGAAAAACATTTTATCGCTATAATCTCTTATAATAAGTTGATGATTGTCCTGAGATATGCGCACTTAGACGTTGACTGATGACACGAATTATTTTTCTTCTTAAAAATCGAAATACATTGACAACGTATTTTTTTTTTTTATATTAATGTAAACCAATGTAAAAGCACAAGACGCAGATTGTGACAAACACACAAAGGAATCGACGCACGCACCTGCTCGAACGATGAACACATAATTTATAAATAAATGTGTTAAAAGTGTAATATTTTTTCTAACGTTGACCGAAAATATTTTTGTACCGTGTTTTGTTTCTCTCTGTAAAAAAGTGCAAGATTTTCTTGTGCGCTGTAACGAGCTCATTGTACGAAAAACAGTCTTTCGATGTAATAAAAGCTTGTTAATTTAAAATATTGGCTTCAAATTCTTAACAAACACTACTTGTCAATATCCAATTCCAACCAGAAGACAATATAAGCTAATCGAACATTTTTTTGCCACTTGCGAGTTTATAATACTCCATCTATCGATGAATTCATAAAGCTCAACGTTAACAACTTTGATTACGATGGGTTTTGTAAGTACAAAACGAACTCTGCAAAGTGGATCCTTACATTTTCCTACACAAAGATATAATTTATTTTCAATTTTGAAAATTAATTGACAGTTTTGGCAAAACAAATGCCAGCTAAAGTCATGAGCGGTCGCACGTGCTTATAATCTCACCGCAGCAGAAGCGATCGAGCAGTGACTCTCCTCGCTTGTTTTTCACCAAACGTGCCATAAGAAATTTCACGTAAAAAAAAAAGGAAAAAGAAATCCTCGAGTTCAATCAACATCGTTAAAACGATGATTCCTCATCCAGACGTCAACACTTTCTTTCACGGCTTCGGGCCTCATCTATCTCGGAAAATCATCAATCGGATGGTAGACAAAGGTTATTGCGCGACTAACCACGTGTGCGTCGCGGCTCGTAAACAACAACAATAATCAAGATAATACGGTTAAGTTTCGCCTCTTATTTCGCAGCTCTTTACAAAAAGACCGAAGTTACCGACCAGAGAGTCCACGATTTCTTTCAAATCGAGTCGAATCAGCCGCGATGCTACGCGCCCGACGTCGATCCCACCAAGACGAAGTTAGCCTGGGGTCCGTTCGCGCTCCCGAAACTCGTAAGATCTCGGCTCTTTAATTTTCACGATAACATTTGTTTTTTGAGATAAAAAATTGAGAATTCATTTTCGCCGAAGAAACGAGAGCTCGGAAGTCACGACACGTTGATCGTGAGACAGGCGGTGACGACGCTCGCCGATCTCGTCTACGATCCCGTCAAGATAGTGGACGCCAAAAAACTCCACATTCCCAGCAAGTAAGTATGCAAAAAAAAAAAAAAAAAAAAAAAAATTAACGAGTTACAAATGATAAATGTTAGATTGGCCATGCTGCTGCAATCGAACGATCCCTACATACGGGAGCGCGTGACGATGACGTTCAAGACGATGGCCCAGCACGCCGTCGGTCTCGAGCTAATCTCGCAGAATCGCACGATAATCGCGAATCTATCGAGCTGCTTCAAGGATCAATTAGCGGCGGTGCGCTTTCAGGCGGCTCTCGTCGTCGAGACGCTCGTCCTCGACTGCGAAGGTAATAAAATCTCGGTGATAATTGTGTATTAGCGACGTTCGAGAAGAAACAAAAAGCAATATTCAATGCGCGACGAGTCGCGCGTGTAAATACACAAATGAAAGCTTTGTCCCTCTCTTCCTCTCTACGTCTATACAGCTGCCCAACAATTGAGCGTCTGTGGCTTCGTCGAGTCCATCAATTCGAGGCTTTGTAGCGAATTGAAATACATATTGGTCGGTATACACAACACGTTCTAAATGTTGACGCACAAAAAAACAAAAAAAAACTCGAAGCTCTTTTCACGCTCGCGCGCAGGTCGTTCATCTGCGGATTTTGAACGAGCTGCTGCATCGGAACATAAAGAGACAATGCGTCGATCTGGGCATGTTCGCGAATCTGCAGGCGCTGCTGAAGCGACGGAGCGAGGACGTACTGTGCGGGGCTCTGGCCTGCCTGGCTCTGCTCTGTCAGGATCCCTGCGCCCGCGAATTGGCAATCGAGGCGGATCTGCTGAATACTTTAAAGCCCCTCGTATTGGAGGACGACGTTAGTAGTAGTAGTAGTAGTAGTCGAATGCGTGTACATAATGTATAAGAATACAATGACGTCGTTATGTTTTTTCTCCTCCTCCTCCTTCTGGCGTCGCTGCTGCGCACGACAGAGAGTGTCGGTAAACACGGAAGCGGCATTGTGCGCCTGCCTCGTAACGATCGCGACCAAAGGCAAGCTGCGACTGCTCCAGCTGGAAATGACGTCGCCCCTGGTGCAGCTGGCGCTTAACAAGTGTCGCTACTGCAGAAATCCAAGACTTCTCCTTGCCATTATCAAGGTACACAACGTATTTTCGCGCGCGCGCGCATTATGTATTTACGTCGTACAGTAGTAGTACGACTGCGCGGGTCGTTACGAGCTCGTAAAAATGTGAGCGAGCGAGAGCAAGTCTTTATTCGATTTATCGAAAAATGTTTTTTTTTCTTTTCGAACGCAGTTGTTGACGAACGTCAGCGAGGCACCCGATGGACGTCGTTTATTGTTGGAGAAACATTACTGCGACATCGTGGGCATCGAAGTCGGCGGCAACGAGCTCGTGGAGCAGCACCGACGGATTCTCCTCGACACCATCAATTGGGAGCCTTAAAAATACTTAAATATCGTCTCGTTACTTAAATTTTTTTATATGAATTTTTTAACATTTTTGAACGAAATAAACGTATGAAAATGTATACATCGTAGCGTTGGTTTTATTTCCGTTCATGGCAGCCTCGGGAAGTAGCAGCAGCGACAAAAGCTCTGTACACTACGTAAACAGCTGCGACGGCGGTGGCGGCGGCGTTGAAAAGAAGCAGAAGCCGCGAGGAGGAGGAGGTGTCAGCAAAAACGAAATGACATCAAAAAAACTGGGGGATGACTGCCGCTGGAACTGATGTGGAAATTGAGCCGTTTGATCGAGGAGAGGCGCCTGGCGCACTCCAAATGCGCTACAAGTATTATATGGAAGAAATATTTCGTCGAGTTTCGGGTCAACGGATAGCGTGGCAATTTCTTTTCGAAAAAAAGTTCATTCAAAAACAGTGTGTCAGTCTCGTTCGATTCGCTTGATTCAAATGTGATGAAAGAAGGCGCATGTATTACGAATATCATTCTAAACTGCGATACTGCATGCGAAGCCAACTAAATGTTGTCGAATTTTTAAATGACGAAAAATTAAATTTATTTAAAGCTTCTCTAAAAATTATCAAATAAATGATTAAAAGTAGTAGTACAAATAAAAGTAAAGGCAATACATTTCCGATTTTCGTGAATGAAAATTCCTAAAAACTTTACGACCGAGCTGCCAGGAATCCTCGATTCGAGCAGGAGAAACATCACGTTTTACGCGGGGGGCTATACCCGCGAGCATTGCTCTCGATTGCTTTTTTATTTTGTTCATCGCAGTATCCTCCGCAGAGTCGAGTACTCGAAAACAAAGTCGACGAATTCGAGGCGATACGGACAAAAAATTTTTGTTGACTTTTCGCCGATCGTCGACCCCCTACCACCACCTATATACATCGAAGTGATCGAAGCAATAACTATACTTTTATTCGGTCAGCAGAAAATTTTCCCAATCCTTCCGCAGTTTGCCAGCTGGTCTCTCTTCTGCTTTAATTTCATGGTAATTATTCGCGCTGCTCTTTCATTTCCCGCGGTGTCTCGGGTTCTTCGCGATAAGATCGATTTTTAATCAACGTAACTTTTCAACAAATGGGATGGAATTGTTGAGAAACTCCGGGAGGGGGACGACGAGCACTTCGCGCCGCACTGATTCCCCAAACGTTGCAATATTCTTCCGCCGAACTTACGAGGACGAGGCGATCGAGAAGTTCCAAGCGCACTCGGAGAAGTGTACCAGGGGAGAAAATATGCGCCACTACTTCGGGATTTTTACTTTTTCTCGTGTAAACTCGTTCGTGTATTTTCATTCCCAGGCAAAATTTTGAATAAAATTTTTTTACACGGTGTCACGATAAATACGCGATTTCGTTAATAAGAGATAATCTTGATGTAAACCTCCCTCTTTGACGCACGCGTTATCGAAAAAGTAAGCTCTTTTGAGGTCGCTGTAAATATATATTTTATTTTCGGCTACGAATTCGAGCGCAAACAAAATCCGGCATCGATGCGTGTACCCACGTAACACAATATGCGTTTACACGCGGTATTCGTACGTTATAATATCGAGCAAATGGATAAAAGCAGATTCTCTTTGGAGAGATCCTCCGGGCCCTCGTCCACATACATCACACCCACCCGCGCATTCGCAGGGGGGTATTTGCGACGTGCCCGAGCTCGTGTTCGTGCTCGTGTATACACACGTTACGAAGTATACGCGAGAGGCTTACACACAAACACACACATACTTACACAGAGCTTCGAGCCTCGAAAAAGTCTCGAAAAAAGTTTTGGCCGCGGCCAAAGTTCGAGTTTTCGGAGTCGTTGCAGGCTATGCAGCTGCAGCTGCAGCGGGCGGGCACTTACAGGAGAAGGGGGCAAGGCAAGTTTCGTTTAGAGATATATGTACGAATGGCGCCTTTCACCCTGTCTCGAGCTCAGAGTCGTGGGTAAATAAGTAAAAAAAGAGAGAAAGAGAAGCTTTCAACTTTGCCAGCCAATATGCGAGAGTGTAAAACGTGGAGTAATTGCAGGATATGTTTTTGAAAGCTCGCCGCTATTGCCACTGCCGCCGTCTTGAAAGTCGAACGGCGTGCGTTATATCCGCGAAAGAAGTGTACGACCCACTGCAGCTGCAACGGACGTCACTGCGAAACAGGCAAAGCTTCGCGGGTATTTAAAATTACGAGTGGACTTTTCAGCTTGGCGTTTTAGAAAGTCGGGATTGTGCGAGTGCATTTATCGCTTAGTTAGGGTCCCTCGAGATGTATAGATATGCCGCGCGATAACTCGATCAAAATGTGTACAGGGGGTCGCGCAAAATCGTACCAAAACTAGCGAACAATACAAATCATTCCACGTTTATTTTATATATAAAGTGCAAAGAAACAATCCTCATAGCTATACAAGAGCTTTTACATTATTGACACATCGCGAATAATCTCAACACTTGCCATCTTTTCGTGTGGTTCTTTTTTCGACGTACACAGGATTCGAGAACCGATCACTGCTACTTGGGTAATAACTTCCTGGACGATATCGCGCCTTTGTCCGTAACTCGAGCGATCGACCATCAATTGGCAATCGACCAACTTCGACACCTACGCCGTGTCAATAACAAATACCCAAGCTCGATGTTTACATCTGTCGCTCTTCGTTCCCCCCTCATATTTTTCGTCGAAAGAAAAATGATCGTCGAGCTACGTGTCGTTCTCAATTACGCTCGTAAAGAAAACAAAAGCAAATAATTGCCCAAATTAATCTTTAAACGAGTTATATTATATTCGCTCGATCGAGGAGAATATTTACGAAAATGCGGCAAGGGTTGCAGAAATGCGCTGCACAGCCAACGAGACAAAGACTCTGTCTGTCTCTGTGTGAAGCCGGGCTCTCATACCAGTGCACGGACGCCCTTAGGCGCGCTTTTCCCTTCCTCCGCTTTCCCAAGGTACTTTCTAGGACGACTATAGTGTGTAGCAGCTACTGTAGCTGCTGCCAGCCACTCTCTCTTCGAAACGTACGAGCTACCTAAGACCTGACAAACATTGCTCCGCTGCACATGTGCGCGCCAGCAGCAGCAGCGAATGCAGAGCGAGCTACACACGGAAAACCACAACATCGCAGCCACCGCTACCCGAGTATAGCGCATACATACACACAGAGGCAAAGAGAAAAAAAGAAACATTTTAAGTGCAAAGCGGAGCTTTTCACGGCACATGCACACACCTCACAAACACACACACACACATGTACATGAATAGATTATTTTTCTTTCCTTTTTATTTGCTCAAGATTCCCATTGAAAGTTACTGCTATACTACTCGAGGAACGGAACCGTCGACGGAAAAATTGCTGAAAAGAATCGCCTTGCGAGTGCAAATATTGATGCGCTGTTTTTATCTCTGCTGCTGCTGCTGCTGCTGCTGTGTGTATGTGTAAGAACGCATTTTCCTTTTCTCTTTCTCGTTTTCTCGCATCTTCGTTACGTGTGTATGTGTGTGTGTGTGTGTGTGTGTGTGTGTGTGTGTGTGTGTGTGTGTGTAGCATATAGCCATCTGTATATATCGAATACACAAGGAGCATCTTTCGATCCCTTTGAAACGGCTCGCTCCTTCTCTCGAAAGCAAAAGCAAAGGCAGGAGCAGCAGCAGCAGCAGCAAAAAAAAAGGATAGCAAACTTGTTCGCCGAAAGAGAAAGAGAACGAGAGCTCTTTTTCGCCTTTTGAATAAATAGTAAAGGAAGAGGTGCGATTACTGCCTCCAGAGTGTAAAACGCGCTGAATGAAAAAGAATAAAAAGTAAAAATAAGATAAAAATTACTAAATAAACACGCGAAAGAGAGAAGAAGAGGGTGAGAGAGAGAGAGAGAGAGAGCTCGCGAAAATGCGTTTACGATCTCGATGCAGATATCTATATATATATTATTATGCACTCAATGCGAATCGTATATTTTTTCCTCGTTTTATCGTTTTCAGCATTTAAAAAGGTTCGAGGAGGGCAGCGCGCGTTAAAGCACAAGCCCTGGAATTCAAGATCTCCTCCTACGCGCGTACGGACTCTTAACGCTTCTGATCAGAAATTTATCTATCTACCAGTCGGCTGAGAGCCGGCCGGGCTAGCGCGAAAGGACGGGGAGCGCGAGTTTGCCCGAGAAGAAGATGCACTTAAAGTCCTCGGCTATACTTTATAGCTGAGCTATTACAGTCGGACCGTATATATAAATTTCTCGCTGCGCCGATGGGGATGGGGAGGGGTGGAGGACGCGCGAGCTTGCAGCAGTGCAGCGAAGCCTGTGAAAAGGTTGATAATTTTTCAATACCACTTAAAATATAGGGATGATAATCGCAGCTGGATTATTCGAGCTCGACTCGACGCCGATAATCGACTCTGCAGCAACGTTTACATTCCGGATCGAATAATAATAACAGAGTATACACACAACCGAGTCGAGTTATATCGCCTCGTGCAGTTTTGTGGGGATTTTCTGAAATATACTTTGTGCGCACGTAGACACGATGACGACGACCACGGCGACGACTACGACACGATGTATAGACACAACTATCGAGCCGTAAGCTTATATAGAAACGAGAAAGAAAACAAAAACCGAAAACTGGACAATAGGTCATTTTGCGATATTATCGAGTCGAGTGAGGAGCAACAATAGGCTCATGCGCCATGCTGCGGATTCATCGGATTCGGAATCGACTGCACACATACACACACACACACACGGAACCGTATACATGCGACTTGGTCGTGATCGTGCGGGTTTCTGTGAAATAATAGCTCATCGCAGCGGCAGCGGCAGCGTCGAGAGGATATTAAGCGCCGCGCATTGATGACCGTTTCACCTGCAGCCTGCAGCGCAATATAACGCCGCAAATTTTCAATGGCGCATTGGGAAAGTTTAAAGTCTCTCTATATCTCTCTCTATTTTCTATGTACCCGTAAATCGATGATTCTTCATTTCGCAGCGCTAACCGAGCTGTATAATAGAGAAATATGGGAAATCCAGAATACGCGAGCTTTATTTTTTTTCAGATAAAACTACGCTAGGCGATGACTTATAAGATGCTAATGATGCTCCAAATTATCGAGCGCCTCCATAGAGAGATGCAAGATAAATTCGAAAATTGCCTTTACCGACGATGAAAAGTATTAATCACCGAACAAATTCAAACAATATACAAGTACGCAAGAGATGACTTCGTATAAACTATGCCGTGTGTATACTCGAGATCTCAGCTTGAAACGTTTCATTTTGCGCGCGATTAACGAATATAATGATCGATTGCGTCAATTTCCAATACGCGCGCGCACACGCAAATCCAAATACTGAATTTTATTTCGAGAATCGCTTTTTTTTTCCTTTATCGTCGGTGATTCGATTCGGCGCTTGCGTAAGGGAAATATTATTATATTGTAAAAAAAAAAAAAAAAATGCCTAAAACGCTGCTGCTGTACACGCGCATTCATAGACGAATGAACGATTTTTTTTGTAAATATAAATAGTATGCGATATTAGTCACTGGTTCGAGAGCGAGAGGAAAAAAAATGGTTTGAATTTATGTTTTATAATTTATCGCTCGCTAATTTGCGCGCGATCACTCTGACTATCGACATCGTTCGTCTATGGTTCGTCAATTTAATCTAAATAAATAAGCGCCCCGAATGGAATGAATTTTTTTTAGCGAATTATTTCCATACTCTTCGAACGTCATAAGGCAGAATGAATAATAAATAAATATAACGTTGTACAATCTCTCGCAACGGTTATTAAAAAAAAAAAAACAACAAAAGGATACATCGGAATATATATTTTTTTTTTTACTTCCACAGGAACTGACGCAATTTTTACTTTTTTTACCGCGGCATCAAACGCTGACTAAACAATTGGCTATGTACGAAAATATGTTTTGGGCATGCACATGTATACGCGCGCACACGTAAGCTCACAGCGATAAATACACGTAATAACGATATTGTTCGCGATATAATGAGCTCAAATTTTATGTGTCACACAAATTTTTTGCAATTAATAACGCGCTCAAACGCGTTTACTTACGGCTTGACTCATGCTGGGTAACTAAGTTTCACCTTCCGAGCGTCTATATGAATGAATCGATCGTCGAAATCGATGCAACGAAATCTCCATAATTCATAAAACGCGAGCGAATTGCAAATGTGATTCTCTAATTAGAAACGAGTTCGTTGGCCGGATTGACATTGTATCTATTGTTTACGTATATTGACAGAATGATCGTCACTTTGGTCACCTTTACACATCGTTTTTTTTTTTATTTTCTAAAGCTCGTTTAGCAGTAAAGCTCCAAGATTCGATCGTCCCTCGATAATTGTCGTAATGTACACGCCGAGTTAAAGAGTCGAAATTTTTCAGAATAACAAAGCGCCACTCGATTAAAGGGAAGGTATCGAGTTGCGAACGTCGTCTACTTGGAAAATTCAGCTCTCGTGGCTTCCCTCTTACCTCGTCGGAACTCGAAAAGGAGCGATCAGCGCGCGGCGGGAAGAGAATCGACACACACCAGGATCATTAAAGAATACACCGGGGTGTAGCGTACGTCGAGATATATTGACAAAGAAAAGGCTATCTCGCACTCCCTTGGGCCCTTGAGAAGCTGCTACCGCACACAGCTATATAGCTCGGCAGGTCGATTCGTTATACCGCACCTACACATCGTGCCTCGAGATATACAACAACGCAACGCAACGCGGCAAATGGGTAGCGCAGCGAGGAAACTTAATTAAGGCAATTGTGCTTTCTCTCGAGGCTCACTTTGTTTGTGATTGATTCCGTCGATCTCCTGCGCGCACCACCAGCCACCACCACCAACCCCGGCCGACTCGTTACACGGCTCGAGCCGCCCTCATCGTGCAACGCCACTGCACAAAGTAATATTAATAACGATCCTTGGGATCGAGGCTTACGAGCGGTAGCTTTGTTATTTGGACGGATAAACAATTTTTTTATTTTCAAGCAATAAGCTCAGTGACTATATTCAATCGCAATAGTATCTGTATACGCGATATAATAACGAATATAATACTGAAGCAGCGAAAATTGCGAATTCGTTTCTTCTTTTTTATCTCCTCGTAAAAGTATCTATGTATCTAGTAGCGATACACGTAGTAGCATTGAATCCCATGTGCCGCTGCAACGAGACTCGTATTATACAGCTCGATCCGCGCGACAGACGTACGTATATATACACGGGAGGCGATAATATCTTCGTTTATGGCGCTTGTATATACATAATAGATACATCCTCTCTCGCGAATCACGGGTGCCGATTCCAATACATATATACATATACGTCTGCAGTTACATTATATACGCACGTAGACGAGCTATATAATAATGTAGTACACGACGCGAGAGTAGTATATAGCCATGCGCGAGTTGACGTTATGTATCGCACAGCTCGCGATAAGATAAATTGCGCTATGCTCGCGATCGTCGCGCATTACATATACAGAGCGAGCTGCAGCAGTTTCCAGGATGTTGAAAATCAAGATGCGCGCGCGTTCGGCTCGGATTGCAGCCTTATCGCCGTATCGCAATCGTTTGCCCTAAAATTCATTTAAAAAAAAAAGAAACTCACGGTCGTGACGATGTGCACGTAAACACACACACACACGTCGCATATATATACGAACTTACGAGCGCGGGCCGTTATAAACAATATACGTTGTATGCGCTGCCGATAAATAATCCTAACGCGCGTGCAAAAGTCGAGGAAAACCCAGAGCAGCAGTGTATGCCAGAAGTGGGAAGTCCCCGATCACGCTGCGCTACTCTCCCCGTCCATTGCGCGGCGTTTGCGCACATCCCGAGATCGTGTGTGCGAGAGACGAAAGAAAGAAAGACGAAAGATGTATGTTATACGCGCGCATCGTCGACGACACCTGTGCCTATATTATGCTGCTCCTCCTCCTCCGACGCAAACGATAAATTCGCGCCCGAGCTATGTAATGACTATATACAGTAAAACACACAATGAGGCATTTTTATTATAATAAAGATCATCCTGTTTAGCTGTGATGCTCGACGACGACGACTACGACGCGCGATGAGTCAAGGCTCGGCTCGCTAACATAATTTTCGAACACCGCTCGGAAAGCGTGTATAGCATATCTATAAATAGATACACGCAGCGAGGCGCGTTTTTTTTTTTTTTTGCGCGCGCAAGCTCCTCCACCGGGCCTAATTTAAGTCACGTGAAATATATGTATATTTTTATTATTTTACAAAAAAAAAGAAGTCTCGGCATGCGTATCGCGCGGATTTACGATTTTACGTACACATCGAATTTACGCAAATTCCAAAAACCATCTTTTTTTTTTCTCTCGGGGTCGGTATCGGTAAAATTCACGTGCGTCACCACAATGTATAATCTGCGGCCGCACGCGTGTGCGCGCATTATATTATACTCGTTTGCGCGTGAGAGAAAGAAAAAAAATTTAAAAGACGAGTCGCGATGCTAGCCTAGATAATAGGTATATAAGCGAAATAAAAAGTGCATCACGATGGCTGCGTGACCCAAAAAGATTGCGCCAAGTACGATATTTTATGCCCCAGACTCGCGATTGCGCATCAACGATCTACGTGTGTACGTCTAAGGAGGCTTTGATCGAATTCGAGGGCAAAGACTGTATGCGATCGGGACTCTATAATGCGCTGGACAGAGGGTGTTGAATGGCCAAGCGCGAAGAGAGACAGGGAGAGTAACAAAGCTCCGTTGTTTGTACAATGGCACACACACACACACACACACACACTTACGCACACAAAGAGGGGAGAGGTCGAACTGCTGCAAATAATGGCCAGGCGCGCACGAGAATGGGCTGAAATCGGTAGCGGCACGACGTTGATGAGCAACCCTCGTCACGTCGTCTCGTGTAATTTGTGCAGCGGCGACTGCACAAACGCGCGCGTTTATACACGTAAACAAACCAATATTGGGTATAGGAGCTGCGATGCACGTGCGGACGTCGCTCGTCCATCGATATCTCTCTCTCACTTTCGAGACGATCGGCACAATAACCGATTCCGAATACGTATATTATATGTTAATTGAAAAAAAAAAAAACGTGCGTATATACCGTCGGCGCCGATCATCGATTCCCAAAGAGAGAGAGAGAGAGGTAAACGTTTCGCGCGAAGGAAGGCCGCGGATGATGCCGATGATGACGAAGATGATTGGCAAGTCGCCGGGGTGGGGAGTCACAAGAAGCAGCAGCAGCAGCAGCAGCAGCAGATAGAAAAACGGCACGCGGTAAAATACGACTGCAGCTCTGCGGCCAAGAACCAGTCGGCTCGCGAGCGACCACCGAGCAAGAACCGGTCGCAGCTTCCTATACATATATAAACACAGTGTGTCGATCGAGTATATATAATACTCGCAGCCGCTTCTTCTTCATCGCGAGTAAACGCACGTACATATACGAGTCGACGGTGCTTGACAGATATGCAAATAATCGAGCAGCAGTATTAGTCCTTTTTTTTTCGTGTACATACTCTCGTAATTGTCACCGAGTCGGCTGTGTGTGTTTGTGTGGGACTCGGCCGATAATCACCGGACATCATCCGTTAGGAGAGGCATCGATAGACGGTGAGTCCAATCTATTATTCGTAACATCAACATTTTGCGCTTGTCTGCGTGTATATATAGTCGCGAGCAACGTTATCGAGATATAATACGCGCGCATACCATGTGCGCGTCTCTTTCTTTTTTTCCTCCGGCGGCGGCTCGACTTTTGACTTAACCTTGATTCTTTCCTCGTCATTATCATTGCGAAACTCCATATACGATTGATCTTTAACACGCACACGTACTCTTCCAGACGAGAGCTCACATGTCTACTACTACAACTACTAAGTTAAAATACTCTCGAAACTTGTTTATGCGAGGCATATATAAACCTCGTCCGTGTATGTTTGTGTGCTTGTGCTTGGCCGCGGCGCAAGTGCGTCAGTGTGTTCCGTAGCATCGATATATATGCTATACCACATGTGCTACTGCTACTACTACTATATGATATTTGCAGCTCGCCTTGCCAAAGATGCGAACGCGACGACGACAGTTTGTGTATATACGGCAGTAATAATTAATGCGCCATGGTAATTAATCGTTCGCGCGCCTCGTTTGTGCAGCCGGAGTCCATAAAAAAAGTTTTATACGCCTGACATTTTTTCCTTCTTTTTTAATTGCTATCATTTTTTTTTTTTTTTTTTTAATAGTCTCGGCTTTCAATTTTCCATGTGCTACGCACATTCGCGCGCGCGGCCAAGCTCAATTGTTTATAATATATACACGATTGGAATTATCTCGCGCGCGCGCAAACGCGAAATGGCCCGTTACCGTTTGCAGCTGGCCTAACCCGGCATCACGAGGAAAAAAAAATAATTAAACGAATTAAAGCGAGAGAGAGAAAAAGCCTCGAATACGATCGACGTAGTTGTACACGTGTATACGGAATCACGGCTCAATGGCGTTGTTTTTTATTTTATTTTATTTATTCCATATATTTAAGCGCTCGAGTATGTATATATCGATTTTTCTCTCTCTCGCTCTCGTTGGCCGATCTTGAGGGCAATTTTAAAGGCCGCTGAATATTCATGTCGATTGTTGTCGTCGTCGTCGTCGACGTGCCGTGCGAGCTAGATGTGGATTAAATTTTTATTTTATTTTTGCTTTACGTATTCCACTCTCGTATCGGCCAACTGCGACTCTTTAAACAAGCCTAAATCGTCACGATAGAAGTATAATACGATACATTTGTTTTGTCCAGCAGATCGACGTAGCAAGACATTCGAAGTAAGAAAAATGAAGTATTTCGCGCTTACGGCACTGCTGCTGCTGGTGCAGCTGACGACTATGTTGGCTAGCTGCCAGGAGCAGGGCTTCGTCTATCCGGACGCGTTCGAGATGATGAAGCTGCAAGCCGAGGACGAGGCCGAAAACCAACGGCTCCAGTCTTATCAGATCAGCGGCGCGCGACCCAACGAGCTCAACGGCAACAACAACGGCAACTACTGGACCAGACCGGGAGCCCCCGGCACGCATCCGGTCGGCCAATTCGCGAGCTTTGCGCCTGTGGCCGCCTCGGCTGCTCCTCCACCTCCACCGGGCGCCCTTGTTGGGCCTGCGTCGTCGTCGTCGGCTCTGGCGCCCAACCGACCACCGGCCCAACAACAATTAGGTGCCACGCCGTTCGACAATTTTCTGCCGCCACGTTGGCGCGATCACGTGCTCAATCTCATCTCGCGCGGCATCACCAAGTTCGCCCTCGATCTGGACCGCGTGATCGAGCAGACCTCGGAGGCGAGCACGGAGAATCGCGTCTTCTCGCCGGCCTCGCTCACCCTGACCCTGTCGATGGTGCTGCTCGCCTCGGGCGGCAAGACCTTCGACGAGGTCTCCAAGATCCTCGGCCTCGAGTCGGGCATCGACGTCTCCAAGCACTCGGAGATCGTCCATCAGATCTTCGGGCTGTCGATACGCGAGACCCTGAAGAAGGAGCAGCTGGACCCGACCCTGCCACGATCCAACTTCGGCTTCGGCATCTTCGTGGAGAACGGCTACCCGATACGCGAGCAGTTTCGCGCCGTCAGCGAGAACGTCTACAAGGCCGACGTGGTGAACGTGGATTTTTCGCGCGACAACAAGGGGGCCCAGCAGTTGATCAACAACTGGGTGAACAATCGTACCGCGGGACTGATCAAGAGCCTGCTTAGCGAGCCACCGAGTCCGCTGACCAAGGTCATCATCACGTCGGCCCTCTACTTCATGGGCGAGTGGGAGCAGCACTTCGTCGAGGAGTCGACGAGGAGGAAGCCCTTCTTCACGGAGCCCAATCAGTCGGTCATGGTCGATCTCATGTACAACGGCGGCGAGTTCCCGTACCACGAGGACGCCCAGTTGGGCCTGAAGATCATCAGCTTCCCCTACAAGGGACGCGAGGTAAGGACGCATCGACGATTTTTCTTCGACTCGCCCCTCTCTAACTAATTTGACCACATTTACAGCTGTCGATGTACGCCATACTGCCGGACAAGCAGGGCACGGCCGGCCTCCGCGAGATGAGGAGCAAGCTCAATCCGGAGATCATCGAGTCGCTGATCGACCAGATGCGCAATCAGTCCTGCATCATCGGCTTTCCGCGCATGAAGCTGTCGAGCACGCTGGGCCTGCAGGGCGCCCTCAAGGCTCTCGGGCTGCACTCGCTCTTTGATCCGGCCACGGCCGATCTCAGCGTACTGTCCGGTGGTCCGGGTAGTAAACAACCGCAGCAGCCTCGACAGCAGCAGCAACCGGCGTCGGTGAATTATTCGCCGACGTTCCAACCGGCTGCGGCACCGGCTTCGCCGGTTAATTATTCGTCGCAAAAGTTCCAACCGGCTTCGGCACCGGCTTCGTTCGCTCCGACTTATCAATACGCCGCGAGTTATCAGCCACCAGCAGCACCGGCGGGTTATCAGCCAGCCCCGGCACCGGTATCGGCACTGATCCGTCCACAGCCGTTCGCCCAGTCGTATCAATCGGCGCCGAGACCGCAACCGGTGTCGCAACTGCTGCAAGCACCACCGCTAGCAGTTCCAGCCTCGGCACCATTGCCACAGCAGCAACAGCAGTACGGCCAAGCGCAGGCCAGGGCCCAGGGTGGCTTCAAGCCCGGCGCCAGCATCAATCGCAGCAGCGACGCGCAGAGCCGCTACTTCAGACAGCAACTGCAGCAAACGAATAATGTATGGCAGCCGCGCAGATGGAAGCGCCAGAATCGGCCGATCGACCAGGAATTCCTGAACTTCGTCGAGTCGCAGAAGCTGCCGACCTTCGGCGTGGACGAGCTGAGAAACACGCCGGGCCTGACGAATCCGGGCATCTGGGCCGACGACGTGCTGCACAAGGTCGAGATGGTGGTGAACGAGCGGGGCACCGAGGCCGCCGCCGCCACCTCGATCCTGCTCGACCGGACGGGCAACTTCAAGCGCTTCATCGCCAATCGGCCCTTCGTCTTCTTCATCAGGCACGACGCGAGCAAGTCCATCTGGTTCTGGGCCACGATCAACAGGCCCGATCCGTTCTACGTCGGCAAAGACTCGCCTTAATTCGATATAAAGAAACGAGTACGCGACTAAAAATCTTTTGTGATTCTTGGTATACGACGCGCAGCTAATGCGTTGTATACACTTACACATTTTCATCTCGCTCTCCGTAGACTCTATCTCTCGTTCTCAGCTACTACTACTACTACTACTAAAATCGATAAATATAGTGCACGTATACACGCTCTCGTGTGTATACGTATAGACGAATATTACCAACCGTACTGATAAGTTTAAATCCGTTACTCCTCGAAAGTTCGCAGCTCTCTCTCTCTCTCGCGAGCTCGTGTGTAATCGCTTTTTACCCTACTTGTATACGCGAGGCAAGTTTCGAGCCAAAATCCTGGCCGAGTATTATAATATTCAAAGCTATGCAAGTTTGCTCCGTACGCGTGTTTGTGTGTGTGTGTATGTAGGTGGGTGTGTGCGTATGCGCGTGTGTGTGTGTGTGTAGTTCGTAGTGTGCCAGACAGCCAACCAGCCAACCAGCGGCTCATTATTCTATACATATATACTATATATACATCGAAATACGAACAGAGAGTAAAATTTTGCACCTCGACGGAGGATATGTAGCTGCGAAAACTGCCAAGGTTAAAATGTGAATATTTTGCAAACACGAGCCGAAGATTTTCGCCTATCGTAAGCGAGCCATTTTGCAAAAAAATTTTCATTCGCTAGCCTGGCGATTCGTTATATCCTCCTCGAAGCGTATCGATCGTTTCTCGCGGGCTACTTTTTTATGTACGCGTAAACTTTATATTATTATTATTATTATCATGACTTATGAGAGCTCGTGAACTCGCCTTTTTCAGAGCCTCGTTTACATTATACGATACACGGTAACTGCAGAGAGAATAAGAGAGAAGAGAGTCGTACGCGTGCATTTGTCGCGACGATAAAAGAACCTTTTTTTTTCCAACGCACGCGTTAATATACCTACCTACGTTGTAACGAGCGATGATTTATTGAAAAACGCCATCAGTCGCGCGCTGGATAATTTTTAATGCATTTTTAGTTTTTATACATATGTGCGAAACACACACACACACGCGCGCGCGCGCGCACGCACTTCGTCGTCCATTTTGTAGATAATATCCGTCGGCATTCCTACCTTTTAATTTTACTTTTTTTTTTTTATTCACGAATATGTCTGTGTTTATAGTGCGCTGTTATAATGTATAAAATAAAACAACAACAACAACAACAACAACAACAAAAAACGAAGACGAAAGAATCGATTTTTTTCGATACTGTAAAATATTTATACGTAATAAAAAAGTAAAAAGTCAATAACAAAGTGTGATTTATCTTTTCCTTCACTTTTCAACGAGCAATCAATCATGTACGCACTCTCATTTTTTTTTCACGATCTACAGTGAATTTCGGTACAAGTATCGCAATCCAATTTTCCAAACTAATTATATAATTATAAATATCCTGACGTCATAATAAGGTACAATAAGAAGAAAAAAAAGAGTCGCGCAACGTCGTCGTCGACACTGAACGAAAGCAAGTGTACTTTTGCCAAGTTCTTCGTCGCGTCAAAATTTTTTTTTATCGTACGATCGATTAATAATCGGCCAATAAATGAAATAATGACGCGCGCGTTGTGGGTCGTTTCGAGTGCGCGAAATCGGTCGTGTACGTAGCAGCGGCAGCGGCAGCGGCAGCGTCGAGTGCGCAATGGATTAGAAATCAATCCGCCGGGACAATATTTGCACAGCTTTTTTTTCTTCTTGCCTTTAACTTTTAACAGAAAAATACCCGCTGTGCACTCCGCGTGCATGCGTGTGTATGCACTTGCCTTACGATTTGACATTGACGATGACATGAACGCGAAGCAAGAGAAAAAAAAGAGAGCGGAGAGTTTGCAAATGACAGGAATTGGGACGGATCTCGATGCTCGGCGCGGAGTTATGTTTTCGCGTAGTCGAGCGGAATCGCCACATCTAACATGAGTTCCACTTGAAACGCACACACATGGTGCGCACTGTCTCGTGACGTAATCAGGGAAAAGTTATAATTTTTTATAATCGAACTTCGCTCGCACAATATAGAGGTATTTAAATAACGCAGTACGCAATTATATAATATTCGCATATAAAAATAATTTAATCCGGGCCTCGAATCGAACGTCGAACGAAAAATCGATAGTGCAAAATCGGGATACTGAATTTGTTTTACTCTTTCGAGCTTCAGAGAGCAGGAGAGAGAGAAAGTTATATATAGAGAGCACAGCGCAGCGATGAAACATATTTTTGCATTAATACTATTCATCGCAGTATGCCGCGCAAAGAGCTCGATATATTTTCCGGACGAGTGGGAAAAAATCAAAATCGATGCGCTGCGCGGTGTACCGATGCACGTTCCTCCTTATAAATATGCAACGGAAAATTTCATAAAGCCTCAAAGGAGCAGCCTCCATGAAAAATTGAAACTTTATTCATTTTTTCCGCCTCAGTGGGAAGAGCAGGTACGTTTTTCCATGTATGATAATAATTTTTGCCTTTCGTTACATCTCGCGTAAGTTCTAATCGGCCCGTTCTGTGAATTATTCAAAACTTTAATCAAACGCGCTATGCACTTTGTAAAATTACGCGTACTCGCCAAATAAACACGACGTGGTATTTTGAATAATGTAACGACCGACTGCTTGAAATTCGATCGGATTTTCCGAATATAATGAATTTTTTTGTTTTTTTTTTTTTTGCATAGACTTTCGGGCTGATCTCGAGAGCGATAGCGAATTTTAGCCTGAATCTGGACCGAGCCATCGAGGAGTCGAACTCGAGCAACGACGAGAACATCGTGTTTTCGCCGCTGGCCCTGTCGGCGACTCTGTCCCTCGTGCTGCTGGCCTCGAACGGCGAGACCTTCAACGAGCTGGCCAAGATCTTAGGCTTCGAGATCATTCACGACGTCTATCACGACTCCGAGCTGGTGCACAAGATCGTCGGCTTGGCCAATCAGGAGATGATCGAAGGACTGGCGGACGATCCGGACGGGCCGAAAGCTCGACTGAGTCTCGGGCTCTTTCTCAAAGTAAGCAAAGTTATCGTCATACAAATTATGAACTCCCCGTCTAATTCCGGCTATAAATACTTTTCCCCACACCAGAGCGGCTATCTGATACGCGACGAGTTCCAATCCATAAGCAGGGAATTCTATCGCGGCGACGTGGTGAATCTGGATTTCGAGCACCACAGCCGGGAGGCCCAGCAGGTCATCAACAATTGGGTTTACGAGAAGAGCGAGGGCAAAATCGAGAGCATACTGGACGAGGTCCCGAGCCCGCTGACCAAGGCGATCATAGCGTCGGTGCTGTATTTCAATGGCGAGTGGGATCAACACTTCATCGACGGAATCACTCAAAAGTTATTATTATACATCATACGGATTTTCGCACTGACCGGATGAATAATATTTTCTCCTTTTTTTTTGTTCGTTGAATATTTGCGTTCCAGAGTCGAGTTCAAAATCGATGAAAATCGTACGGTCTGGGTGGACATGATGTACAACGACGGCCGATTTCCGTTCTACAACGATCCCAAGCTAAAGGTCAAGATCATCGGCTTTCCGTACAAAAATAATCAGGTAATTATCTATTTTCGCCACGTGAAATTTGCCGCGACGCGATTGCAGGCTAATTGTCGTTGTTGCATATAGGTAAGCATGTACGCGATTCTGCCGGACGAGCCGGGCGCAGCCGCGCTGAGGAATCTTAAGCGCCGTATGAACGCCGCGGATCTCGAGGAGCTCATCGGCAAGATGCAGAACAGAAGCTGCCTCGTGGCCTTTCCGCGCATGAATCTGTCGAGCGACCTGAACCTCGAGCGGGCCCTCAAGCGCATGGGCCTCGAGTCGCTGTTCGACCCGGCCACGGCCGATCTGGGCATGCTGTCCCAGGGCAATCCTCTCGGCGGCGACGACGTCCGAGCCTCGCGATACGAGTCGCCCTTCGAGCAGGACCACTGCCTGGCGCGCCGACTGGACCCGAGCCTCGTGGCGTATCTGCGCTCGAATCTGCCCGCAGTCAGGCTGGACGAGCTGAGGCGCGCGGCGGACCTCGTGAATCCCGGCCTGTTCGCCGACAGTCTGCTGCACCGGGTCAGGATGCGGGTGAACGAGGAGGGCACCGAGGCCGCCGCCGCAACCGCCATCGAGTTCATCGACAAGATACTGCCGGACGAGCGCTTCAAGGCCGACCGGCCGTTCCTGCTGGCGATCAGGCACGCCCCGACCAAGAGTCTCTTGTTCTGGGCGACCGTCAACAAGCCTACGCCGTTTTATACCCAGCCGCCGCCCAAATTATGATTACTTTTTATCCGCTGTACACACCATTTTCCACCTCCTCCTCATTTTTGCAAAGACTTTATAAAAATTAGTGCATAGCTCGTCGATTGTCGAACGAATTATAATTAAAGTACTCATAAAAGTGTGACTAATTTGTTGACTTTTTCATTCGTGCGTATTAAGGCAAACGATCGCTCGAGTTACCATGAATTTTGAAAATTAAAAGCCCAAATCCTTTCTTGGGATCATCCGGTGCAGCGGCTTTAAAAACGTTTTGAGCGATCGCGTGCACTGCATCGTGACTCGCATTTTTCTCATTAATCGCAATAATGCAGTCATGAGGTTATTACATACGTTTTGTTTCCCATCTTACCTAATTAGACGAAAAAAAAAAAAAAAAAAAACAATCAAGTGACGCAAGTAGCGATAACTCAAAGTTAAATAATTCATAATTGATCACGTAGTAGAGAACCGTAATTTTAAAAAGAATTTCAATACACGTTGAGCTTGAAAGCGAAAAATGTTTTTTTATTGACACAAATATTTACACTACATTATTTCTTTTCTATAGAACCCAAAAAAACCTCGAATAATTCCAAATTATTAATTAATATGGCTTATTGCATAATAAAATTCTTATCTTACAATTCATCTTCTCTCATTGGCTCTCTTTACACTCGCTTTCGGCTTTTTTTTTTGATAACAAAAAAATTACTCGGAGCATTGTGTCGAGAGAACCGGCGAATCGTCCTCTGTAGCTTAGTCAACGTTCGTCATTTCTTCAACAATGAAGTACCTCGTTTCAACTATTTTACTGGCGACATGTTGCCTGTGCCAAGATGTAATTTTTCCCGATCAACTGCAAGCGCTGAAGGAAGCGTCGGAATACGATTTGTCGAAACAAAAAGACGAGGTATGGAAAATGTAACATTTTAAATTATCGAGCGTTATGAAATATTGACAAAAATTGTTACTTTTTATCCGGAGGAGTCCGAAATTTCCAATCAAGTGGAAAGCTTGAAAGCCCGAATGAAGTCGAACGATAAGATCGAGCTGTCGACCGATTTAAAAGACAAGGTACTCACTTTATTGCATACATCTTTTTATCGCGTTTGAAAAATTCCGGGAAAAGTATCTCAACCAGCGCGAACTTCGTACCGCCACTAGATCCGAGACGATTTGTCAAAAGGACTGACGCGATTCACTCTCAGCCTGGATGAAACTTTGGAGGATGGCAGGGGGAGCGCGGGCGGCTCGGTCAATGAAAATCTCGTTTTCTCACCCTTGAGCTTGCAAACGTTACTGGCTACGATTCTCTTGGCCTCCAAGGGGCGAACGTTCGAAGAAGTCGCCCGCGTTTTAAATCTCAATCCGAGCGGGCCGCTCGCCAATCATTCGGAAATTTTTCATCACTTTTTCGGCCAGAGTATCCTGGAGACTCTCGATAATTCAGCAGGCGTCGAATCGTTGAAGTTTAACTTTGGCACAGGTGTATTCCTCGAGGTATAGTATAACATACACACGAATCCGAGCCAACGAACGATCGCTTCGATCGAGTGGGTCAAAGTGTAATAACGATATATAAAAAAATATAAAATTTTCAGAAAGACTTTGAAATTGCGAGCGATTTCAAGTCGATGAGCGAAAGATTTTACAAGGCTGACATCTTCGGCGTCGATTACGAAAACGGAGCGGAAGCCAAAAAATTGATCAACGACTGGGTGAGCAATAAAACCGAGGGGCTCATTCCGTCCATGCTGAGCGATGCTCCGAACGCCGAGACGCAAGCGATAATCGCGTCTGCCCTGTACTTCGAAGACGAGTGGACGACACATTTTATGCCGGAAGAGTTCACGAGAAGGTAAGTGCGAAGATGGAAATAAAGTTGAACAGAATCGAGTATTAATCTGATATACAAATGTAGGATGCCGTTTTACGTCGAAGAAAACGAGTCGCGCGAGATCGATATGATGGTGAACATGAACAAATTTAACTACCACCTGGACGAAGATTTTGGAGCACAAATTATAGAACTTCCATACGAAGGCTCCAAGGTACGGTACACTTTTATCCGGTCTAGCTTCGATATTTTATCAATGAAAAATGGAAATTCCAACTCGCTCAATTTTCAGCTCTCCATGTACGTGCTCTTGCCGACCAAAGTAGGATCGTCGCACTTGCGAGAGTTGAAGAAAAAATTGACGTTCGAACGCATCGAGGATCTGATCGGTAAGATGAAGGATACCCACTGCTCGCTGGGCCTGCCGAGGATGCGTCTGTCGAGCGAGCTCGAGCTGCGAGACGTTCTCGGCGCCATGGGACTCGAGACGCTGTTCGATCCCGCGGCGGCCGATCTGAGCTACGGCGAGCCGCGCAACAACAACAACAGCAGCAGCAGCCACGAGGAGAACGCAACGACGAGTAGTCGTCGCGCCTACCTCGACAAGATCGTGCAGAAGGTCGAGATGTCCGTGACGGAGAGCGGCACCAAGGCAGCGGCTGCCGGCTTAGGCATAATCGACCGAGCCGGCGGCGTTTACAAGAGATTCCTGGCCGATCATCCTTTCTTGTTCTTCATCAGGCACAAAGTCACCAAGTCTATCTTGTTCTACGGCACCATCAACAAACCCTAGATCCGTGGATTAAACCTCGAGTTGTCGCGTACAGTCGTCGTCGTCGTCGTCGTCGTAATTTTTATACATGTACTTTTTATACTTTGAAAAAATAAAGAGAAAATTTCTCATAAATTTTACAACTTAAAAATTAGCAGCCTTAAAGGAAAAAAAAAAAAATAAATAAACAAACAAAAGTCGCACAGGCACTCTCCGCAAGCACACGTTCGCACATACGCGCACACGAGACGATCTCGTCACATTCTATCGTAGGGCGACTCGTCGGCCGGCTTGGCCAGATTGAAATCCAGTGCCTCGTCCGAGGTGAGAAATCTGACGTCGCTGTCCTCGGAGAAGCCGCCGCCGGTGTTGGAGCGCCTCTTGTAATTCGACCGACGGTACTTGACGACGAACAGAAAGACGAGCGTCGTCGCGCTGGCCAGAACGGCCAAGCAGCCGAACGTGGCGGCGACCACGCCGGCGACCCCGAGGCCCGACGTCCTCTCCAGCTGGCTTTGAACGGGTTCATCAGCGGCGGCGGCGATGGCGGCTGCACCTGCGGACAATCGGACAGAAATGTTCGTACGTTCGAGCGAATGTCGAGTGGACAACGAAGTCGTCGTCGTTACGAGCTTTTACCAGTTTCAGATGTTTTCTTGGCTATCGTCGGTCTCGGCGCTCTCCCGATTGCCGGAATTTTCCAGGTCGCTCCGTTGGTAGTTAGCTTAATGATTGTCGACCGAGTGGCCATAGTTTGCTTTGCAGTTGCTGCAGTTTTAGCAGCAGCAGCAGCAGCAGTAGTATTAGTAGTAGTAGTGGTAATAGCTGTAGTAGTAGTTGTAGTAAAAGGTACAGAAGTTGTAGCAGTAGTAGTAGTATTAACAGCAGCAGCAGCAGCAGCAGCAGCAGTAGTAGTTGTAGGAGTAAAAGTTGTCGTAGCTGTTTCGCTGCTTAACGACGACGACTTCGACGTCGCAGTCGAGGCAGTACCAGTACTCGTCCCGATCGTTGTTGAATTAATTGTCGGCGGCATCGTAACGGTAGCCGCTTCGCTCTCGGCCGAAGTCACGGCGGGCGGCGGCGGCGGCTCTTGGGGCGCTGCTGCCGCCTCGCTCGACGAGTTATCCGGCTGCTCCGGCATCTCTATATAAAGGTCGGAAGGAGACGAGTCAAAACGTTTCAGTTTCGTTGCGTTATTTCAAGTATACGAAAGATGCGGACGCGCGTACCGTATAAGCAGTGCAGAGCAAAGTCCGGACAGCAGTTGGCGTTGTCCGAGCAGTCGAGGGTGCACTGGCAGCCGAGGGAGGGGCTGGCCTCTTCCCTCAGCGAGTCCCAGGTGCCGTTCACGCAGCGACCCTTGCAGCTCTGCATGGCGTGGCTCAGCTCGATCTCGTCTGCGAAATCACGAAATCACCGATTGATTATCCATAAGTCCGGCTGGGCATACATAGGGGGGCCGGTGGCTCGTTGGAAACTCACCGATATCGGCGCTCGGCTCGAAGCTCGTGATTTTCACGTTGCAGTCCTCGCCCTGCAGTATGGCGACGTCGTCGATGGCTATGTCGCTGATGTAGCTCGTGCCGCGTACTCCCTCGATGATGATCTGTGTGATGCGCGTAATAGTGACAAACGATCGTTCGATAATAAGACGATACTCGGATCTCGAGGAGATAAAAAAAAAAAAAAGTCATCGCACGAACCTGGAAACTGGTGTTGACGGGCGGCAAGGGGAACATGCCGCGGAGCCAATGATTGCCCTGATTGCCTTCCTTCGTCCACTTGACTTCCGGCTCGGCTTGGGTCTCCGGCTTGAAGTAGACATTGAGAGTGCCGATCGTCGAGCCGTACATGTGATACCTTTTTGCAATTCAGGAATAAAAAAGCACAAACAAAATTACGCGAAGAAAGAAAAAATATCCATAGTCGCTGCGATTCGGCGCGACGATATGACTTCGAGAGAGTGGGAGCTGGGAGAAAAAAAAATGATACGATCATACATACCAGAAGGAAAAACATCCGGATTCGGTGAGTCGAGCCGGGTAAAGCGGAGATATAATGCGAGCTTTGTCGTTGAGTAATCTGCCGGAAGCTTCCGTGTACAAGTAGTGGCCTGCGCAAGTGAGACAGAGAGAGAAAACGAAAAATTAACCGAGCTATATAGAAGATACGTTTCAGTAGATGCGAGATAGATAATATACGTATATGTACCATCGTAACCGGGTCCGAGGGTGTGATCGTGCGACGGGCCGGTGTTGATGTGGGCGCTCGGCGTGTCGTAATTGTGCCTTATCCAGTCAAAGTCGTGACGGGGATCCTGCTCCCACCAGCACAGAACGTCCTTCTCGAAATCGCAGGAAGTCGGCAAGGGCGCGTCCGAGTCTGTGCCGAAACGCCACCGACGACGACGACGACGGCGACGATGATGATGACGACGGGGGGATGGAGGTAAACAACGCACACGAGAGAAAGAGTAAGAGAAAACGAGGTCAACTCTGGATGTGCACTTTTGGGGGTGCTGCGCGTTTTATCGTTGCTGCTGCTGCTGCAGTACTACTCTCGGCCTCGATAACTCGAAATAAATAACGTCGTTTCGATTAAATTGCAAATCGTGCCCCCCTCGCTCGTGTGTGTGTATACAGCTCTCGAGTTTCCACCGCGAAGAGATAATCGCGCGTAAAACAAATTTATTTATTTCGATTTATTTATACACAGACTGCAGCAGCAGCAGCAGCAGCAAAGTCGGCAGCGGTGCCGTGCGAGTTAGCTGTTAATATTAATATGCATAAAAAAACACACACACAGAAAAAAAGGAATATTACCTCGACAGTAGGGCACGGTGGCGTTCCACTGCTGGCCGTCGCAGTAAATCTCCGAGTTGCCGACCAGCAGGTAGCCGGGCTCGCAGAAGTACATGAGTATGGCGCCGTCGAACTTTTTCCCCACGACGGCGTGCTCGGGCACGGGTGGGTCCGAGCAGCGGGCACCTAAAAAAAAAAAGAAAAAAGAAGCACGACGAGAAATGCGTACGTTATATACTTTCATCCGAGCACATTTAATTGGAACGAAGTGTTATCTGTATGCGCGAGAAAGAAGTCATACGACGATATATGCTTGCGTCCAAGATTTACGCTACGAATATTTAGCACACGAGGCGGATCTCGCGCGCGTATCTTACACCTCTTACCACCCGCCCCACTCGTGTTGCTGCGTAGAATATAACTGCGTAATTGCAGTCAAAGTCCTTCCGAAAATTCGGGGATAACTGACGACGAGCTGTTTTCTTACAAATATAAACGCGTAAAATTCCTTTACCTCGATTTCCCGCAGAGAGACTGCGCGTACTTTTAATTTTGATAATCGTTTCTGGACGAACTTCTCTCGCGACTCAAGAGCACATTTTGCTGTATTAATATGTGTATATATAATGAATACACTCACTGACGCAAATCGGCGTTGGCGTGTCCCACTCGCCTCGCTGGCAGGTCGTGTACTTGTTGCCGACGAGCACGTAGTCCGAGAAGCAGCTGTACCTGCCGATCCGGCCCTCCCTGCCACGGGGCCTGAATCGGCCGTTTTTCAGCTTCGGTAGTCGGCAGCCCGATCCAGCTGGATATAAGCAACAACAAAAAAAAAACGCACGCGTGATCGCAAAAATTATCATGGAGCTGCGAATGATGAACACTCACAGGGGGATCTCAGCGCCTCGGCGAGCAGCAGAGTCGCGACGAGCACGAAGAAGCAGCAACAGCACCTCGTCGTCGTCGTCATTTTCAGCGGTAGTTGGCGATTTTACTTTACACTTCGGGGGGATGCAACACTCAACACACGTGGCTCATAATAATACCGAGAGCCGCGCGACGCACTCGAACAATTTACGGGCAAATCTCGCACTCGCGCGCTTGTACCGCGACAACGGGGAGCTTTTCTCTGACTGCGTCGATCGCGACGATCGTTCTTCTCGTTGCGCTTGGTGTCGGTCGCTGCGCGCCGGAGACGCAGCTTCCGTCTTTTACCTTATCTGCATCCGTTTCGCGCCGTATCATTCTCTCGCAGCCACTGCTGCTACACCGCCGCGTAGAAACGCAGCCATGTGTGTTTGACGCGCGTACATAATCGTACGTATACAAGCCAATGGTGTACGTATATAGCTCGAGTACAAATTACGAGCATAATATGAAGCTGATTATTATATTAATAGGCCTTGAAACCCGACGCGCTTATCACCCGTTCGCGATGCGCGTTCGACGTTTTTCCCTGCCTGCCCATAACTTGACTCTGTGCTCGGATAACCCAGCTGTATACCCGACGTTTTTTAACCCAAGCTCGTATCGTAGAAATCCGGGTGTATGACCGAAAAAGAGAGAAAGGAGAGGGAAAGAGAGAAAGAGAATCGGGTAAAAAGGCAGCAGGCAAAGACGATTGCGCACCGTATACAATCGGGCGAGGAGGAAACTTGAAATGAAATTATTTGCAACCACGCGCGAGGGGTGCAGGCAACGTAACTTCCGCTTAACGACTCTTTGTTCGCGCCCGAAAACTTTGTCACACGCGAGCGAGCGCGGCACCAGTGGCACACTTCCATACATACCCAGTCGTCGTCCCATCGTCTACAGTCACAGAGGCTTTCCAGCGACAAAGTTAGATCTACGCGTTATAATATATATCTATATATCTACGTAAGAGAGCTCGAGAAAGAGAGTAAAAGAAACTGTCTTGGGCGATAATAACGCCTGAACAAATCCAAACGACGTTATTAAGGACTGCCGCTGTGTGCAGTGCTCTTTTCTCGCTGCTTCAAATTAACATTATCATTACCTGTGAACGAGAGCGATAAATGCAATGAAAAAAAACTCGGATGGTTCGCTTTTTTCTTTCCTTCATAAATAAGGCTGTAATTCGATCAATCGTATTATTATTACTAGGACGCCAATTTCACATAACAAAAAAAATCATATAATGATTTTTTGCTCCGATTTTGCTTACGCACGTATACATACGGGAGCAAAAATTTACAAAATAAAAAAATAAATAAATAAACAATACATATATTCGTATTTCATTCGATGAAAAATTACAAAGCAGTATAAACGACGACGCGTGCAAAACATTGATGCGTTTATATAGGAACGACTATGATACAATGATTATAACTGGCAATCATTCTAACACCATGTATATTGGTGTGATTAAAGATACTTTCAAGGTCCATTGAGCCTGGACGTTACGTTACATTTGTTGAATATAAACATTGTTCATTTGATTGTAAGCCTGCAAATACAACAATTCATGCTTAGTATATCACGATTCATTTTATAATTCCACAATGCATGTCGAGGACTTACCTCATCGCTATTAACATAATGACTATGTTGATTGGTTTGATTAAGTTGGTTAAAGCCAACTTGGGTGTAGATCGACGGCGGCGGCGGCTGCTGCTGCTGCTGCTGCTGCTGTGACCCATTTATAAGTTTTCCAATATCTCTAGGATTATTTACAACTGTGTGAACTGGCATGCTCTCTTGACAAACTAAAGTTTGACTAACTAAACCAGTCGGAATAAAATTTCCGTTCGGTATTGGTACGTTATAATTGGACGAAATCGGTCGATTTCGATCGACAATTTGATACATTTTCTCGACTTTCACTTTGTTTCCTGACGATTGAGGAAAGCTTCGGAAACAATCTTGGATCGTCGATGAACTCACTGCCATATAATGAGGTATATTTACTATATCTCTTTGATGGCAATGCCTCGACTGCTGCTGCTGCTGCGGCTGTTTTTGCTGTTGGCTTGGCGGCTGTTGCTGTTGCGGATTTAACATTGAACTTTTGTGTATATGAGTACAAAAATCTTTTGTATCGTAAATCGGACGCCTAACAGGTAATCGATCTCTACCTGTAGCCATAAACTTTATAGGCTGACTCATGCCTCGTGTTTGCACAGGCATGCAGTTACCAATCATTGGCTCTTGTTGACTACATAATTGATTTTTAGCTGCTACAACTTGATAACTATCATTTGGCAAATAAGTCTGATTAACGTTATATTGTACATCGCTGTTTGAAAATTGAGAACTTGGTTGTGTCAACAGTTCGATCATTCTAGGATCTGGGACATCGCCATATACATTACATAAATGATTGCTATGTATCATGTTTTTAGCTTGATTACAGACTTGTGGTTGCTGACAATGATTTGAATGAAATACATAATCATCTTGATTAGAGAACTGGCTTAAGCTATTCTGAGAACATTTTTGACTTTGACTCGATTGAAGTGTCAAAAGATCTGTTCTTTGTTGTATGTCACCAAAACTAATCATTCGTTGCATTCCATTACTTTCTGCAACAGAACTGCCTTGAGACAATTGATAATTACAAAAATCGAAATTTTTGGAACTATTCTGAGAACAACTAATTTGGTCTCTTATTGGAGATGGATTGAAATTTTGCTGTACAATGAAACTATTTTCTACGTATCTAGGTGGTGATGGCGGAAATAGGTGTCTTTCAAAATTCGAATTTTTTTGATGCACTTGGTTTTGTCTAACAGGTACATTAATTCTTGGTGGTTGATTGTATTTAGCATTCATATATGAATATTTACACTTTGGAGCTGACATAAACTCATTTGGAATTAAATCATCTAAACTCGGAGATTGTTCATTTTTCCAAGTTTCATCACTAAAGAACTCTTGGCTCATGGATTTTTTTAATGGATTTGAACTTCGATTTTTTTCCACTGCTATGAAAGTTTTTTCTTTTGATGCACCTTCTATAGCGGGTCGATTTTTTCTCAGAATTGATGGAACATGCTTTGGATTTCTATTTGCGGCAGCTAATTGTTTTGTTTCTTTACCTATAAAGGGCTTCTCAGTTTTTATAAAACTATCAAATCTGTCAGGTTCTCTATGAACATTTCGATTAGAATTTTCTTTTTGATGCATATTATTTGTGTTGACATCTTTCAAGTATCGAGCAACAAGTTCTTGGCGTTGTGGGTCGATCATATTCATATGCATTCTAGTGCTACTAATATCTGAATTGACTTTTGTAGATGAAGGGATTTCTAAGTCACTACCATTCCCATTAGAAGAAGCTGCTCTTTTTCTTTTGTGAGTTGGATCTCCCAAATTTCTTAATCTCACAGGTACACTGGACTCTGGTATATTATCTAAATCAACTTCAGATAAAATGGAATTATTTTCACGATTACTAGTTTTATTGAACATAACTTGGTTCTTTTCTAATATACGAGCTATACAAGAGTCTGGTTCCAGTAAAATGTCAGAGTTACTTGAAACAGAACCTTTATTTGATGAACGAATTCTTTGATTAGCTGGTGTATTTTTTTCTTTACAAATAAAGTCAGTAAAAGATTTGATGTAAGTTGTTTTTAAAGTAGTTTTTGCAGCTTGTAAAGGATCTGAAAATTAAAAATAAGATAATAATAATAATGTTTATAAAATTTTAATGTGTCAAAGATTTTCATATTATTACCTGGAAAATGATTTTTGAAGACGCTCAAACTTTTTTCTGAAATTATTTTACAAGTTTCTGTGTAATATTGAATAATTCGTTTGTCTTGAAGTTTCATTTTCAAATCATGTTTTCTCTTCTCAGCAGCAATATCTACATTTGAACCATGAGAAAGTTCAGTAAAGTATATAATATTTTCTGGAGTATCTGAGTTTTGATTGCTAAAAATATAGTAAAGTAAAGAATTTGATAAATGAATAAAAATGAACAGTTTTAAAAAGTACCATATTAAATTTTCATGTTCTGGTTGGCTATTTTTTATGTTATGACTAGTACTGTTTTCATCTTCAAATAATCGTCTTATACATTTTTCTTTTTTACTTATCCCATTAGCTGAAGGCGATGGATAGTTTTGATTGAAATCTATTTCTTGATTTTCTATTTCAGATAACAAAGCGACCTTTTTTTTTCCGCTGAAATGTTATACAATAATTAAAACAAGAAAGTTGAATTTTAAAGGATAATATTAGTACGCTCACATACTTTAGACCTAAATTAGGACTCGCATGCTCTAACCTATTGTTCGAGTTAATACTGCTGAAGCTAGAATTGTCTGAAAAATCCTGTAAAATTTTTCTTATGTTTGGTGGTATTTTGTATGCTTTATCTTCGGGTGGTCTAAAATTACGATAAAAGTACAAATGATTTTCTATTAAAATTGCATTATTAATAATAAAATAAAATGATTAAATCTTACTTGTGACTAATGCTGCAAGTTTGCATGAGTTTCAATGCATCATTATTTACTACTGCCTCTCTAAGTTTGTTTTGAGAATCAATTGCTACAATTAGATGTGAAGATGATTATCCAAAACAAATATATTCATTATTATAAATTAAAAAAAAGTAATTTACGTTGAGGATCCAACAATAACTTGTCGTTAGGCCGGCGCGATATCAATTTCCCTTTCAGTCCTCTACGAAAAAATCCGTTGACATTTACCTACGAGACAAAAACCATTGCACATTTCTTAACTGATATTGCGCAGAGACAAAGAAAGAAAGAAGTAAACATACAGGATCCGGAAAAGGCTTTGAATTATTTTTCCTATTGAGCAGATTCGTCACGTTGGTGGCTTCCTCCTGCAAAAGATAAAAAAAAGTAAAAGGCAAAAATTATCGCTACGGGCGGAGTGCACGCGGGTTAGCGTGTATGTACACAACTCGAGCTACATCGTTACGAATGTGAATTAGTAAAAGAGCGAAATAATCTCACAATGTCAGCTCTCTGCGATGCGAACCGATGCAGAGTTTTCATGAAACTCGACTGGGCCTTTTGCTTAATCGGCGCTCGTTTTTTTCGCTGCGAGGGATAGAGAATACCAACAATGATCAGAATATCTTTGGTGCATCGGAGGAATTCAATGTGATATGTAAACAGCGCATCGGTATCATAACCTCGCGATGTCACGACTGCGGCGCCAGCGGGGGGGCGGTGCAGGGTGTAAGAGCCGACGACGGCTCTATTGCCAAATGCACACTATTGTTATAACTTTGCAAAGACTGAAAACTCACCAAGTTGCGCTTGGCCGCGAGGGCATTTCGTCTGATCTCCTCGAGCTTGTTCTTGCGCTTCCTCTTCTTGATCTTTTCGATCGATTCGTCCGAGTCGGCGGAATTCCAGTTCTGCGATAGCTTGCCCATTAGAGCAATCGCCTACAACACAGCCAGCGGCAGTAGCAGCAGCAGCAACAGCAGCGAAATCTCGACGCCGAACGAGGGTGGCTGCTGCACTTCTCTCTCCGATTCTTTCCTTCTCAGGACTCAGACTCGAGCCCGACACTGGTAGAACTCGCGAATTCTGATCAGCTGCATCGGGGAGGCTACGGCAGGTGGATGGCTGGGTTATCGATGATTTCACCGCGGACTCGAGCTCTGCACAAAAGAACAGCGACGACTGACGAGTTACGACGATGTGATGAGAGACGAATTCACACACACACCACACATGCACAGACACAAACACAATATGCCGATTGATAAAGTCAATCTCTGGAAACTCGAGCGAGGCGCAGCGGGGATGTATCGCGGACCAAAAGAGTCCGGCCGCTGCTTGACTGATTGTTTCTGCACGCAACGTCACGGTATTTATTACTATAATACCTATTATTATTTTGGCACGTGCTGGACATGTGAGCGTTAAACACAGGAGTACGACGAACCGCGACTACTATCTGCCTACCACCACCGCATCGTCACTGTCGCGCAGTTCGTTGGCCACTCGGCCGGTATAGCTCGTTGTCACTCGCCTCTTATTATATCGTGGTATTATTTCGGTTTGATGACAATCGCGAATACCTCAAAGTACAATGGTCTTTTGGCGATATATAGGTGTATGTAACATTGAGGGTACGTATATACGTCTGCTCTCGGTTTTCGCGGATCTTGACTCTCGCGCGCGCGACGCACAGTCTGTTGTCGCCTCTTCGCAGCCGCAGTCAGTCGAGTTACGAGTATGTATGTGTGTGTGTGTGTGTGTGCGCCCGCCAGCGTCCGTATGTGTCACTGTGTGTGTAAGAGAGACGCGAATATCGAAATTTCGATGCTGCACGAATTACGCGATACAGTGGCTCGTACTATGAAGCGACTGCTTGTTGATTTTGCACAGAGCGTACGCGTAAAGCAAGTGCGAGTGCGTATATACATTGTATGTTAAAGAGTTATGCCTATATAGTCGGCCTACGGAGTACACTTATTACATCATACACCGTATATGTTGTACATATTGTTCAGGTGGTACTCGAGGGACGAGAAAGAGAGAGAGAGAAGGAAAGCTCGAGGGCTCCTTTACGTATCGGTTTTAGACACGCGATATCAAGTGCCGCGCGCGTTATTATTATATATGCAACACACACACAGCTGTATAGCATTTTATTTAAGCGCGCGTGTTGTGTAAGTGTGAGTGTGTTCGATCGTGACCGTTGCCGTTTTCATCCCTAAAAGTGCATTTCGCGGCCATTGTGCAATCCCGGCGCCATATTGCATCTGTGGCGCGCACTGCATTCGTTCGGAGATAATCCAGCGATGCGTGAAGTCAAGTCGAGCAACCGTTACCTACTTTCAAATGGACGAAGAACTACCGATTGGGCATCGTAAGGAGTGAGTAGTACCTCGAATTACGTTTTTAATCTTCATCGATACCATTTCGTGACTCAATACAGTGCTCGATATTATGTGGATGCTTGAGCTTGAAATAAGAGTGATAATTGTTCAAACGAATTTCTTACAATTTTTACGACTCATTTTTCTAAAACACTGCGCATTAAATCTACGACACCCACGATTGATAAGCTGACCTTTCGAAAAAACGTTTCACTCAAAAAGTTGATTGAAAATGATCGTTCCAAAAAATAAATGCATAAATGCACACACTCGAATTCATTTTTTCAATAAAAAAGTTCAGAAGAAGAGAAGCAACATGTCGATCTCGTAATGTTTAAAAAGTAACGGCAAAGTTCGAAATTGACTTACATTCGATCGAAAATTGGAGCTCGTCGTAAAACTCATATGCGACGGACCCGTGAATTTCGAGGGGTCTCTCTGTCCACTTGGCGCAAGTGAAAAAACATAAATCGTGGAGAGGTTGTTAGAAGAAAATCGGTTCATTTGTTTCTCGAAATTTTGAGTTTCGATAATTTTGTGGCAGTGTTTCATCGAAAGTTTGTCAGTTTTCAAATGCTTCTATCTTGGTTTATTTTCATTTGCGCTGCGTTCGCATCGCACTTGCATACGCTCGTGCGCTAACCTCACTTTGCGGTACCAGAAAGTGCGATTCATGGCTCGGAAAAGGGGGCATAAATGTGAACTTAGCAGAGTGCTATAAAATGTTGTATGATACTCGTGACATAGGGGACATTTTTCGGCCCAGCTATTAGGACTCTCGCTGCGCTCGGGCCCTCAACTACGCCGTGCCAAAAAGTGTGACTTGTGCCACTAGTATCGTAATAGTTATTTATGTAACAAGTGCCCAAAAGGCGTTTTTGTGCGGAGTGTGCGGAAAAAGACACGAGTGCCGGCTATGCCGGCACGAGTGGGTGTTTTTTCCGCACACTGTGCACAAAAAGCTGGGCACGTGTTGCATACAAAATTTTATGCAATAGTAGGCGAAAAATACGTTCATTTAAATGAGGCGTTTTACCGCACACCCGTGTCCAAAATGGGGCATTTTACCGCACACAAGTGTCCAAAAACGCTTTTTGCGCACTAAAAAATGTGCGAAAAAAGACATTTTTCGCCATACTATTGCATAAAGTACTATTATTTGATATAATTTCTAGAGTAATAAAGCGGAGGGTAGAACCCGATTATTCAAGTGTTACTCGAATAAGCAAATTGTCGTGCTTGCCCTTTTCCAGTTATTTGAATTAATTCAAACGCGCTTCATCTTAATTTTTCAATAACAATTAAATTTTTGATTCGTGCAATCTTTCACTTGAAATACGTTATGTGCTTAAAAATAAAGAAAATCGAAACTTTTTTAAAAATTTATTTATTTGAATGATAAATGGAAAATCTGCAAAATTTAATAACACCAGACATTTATAAATGCATCACGGACTTAGTCCTGTACCAGCCAAGAAAATACGCCATAAATCCTCGTTCGATAGGTTGTCGAAGATCTTTTCACAGCAAAGAACTGGCAATCGGTAGCGGGTCATCTCTAAGAAAGAATCCAGGGCCCAGCACCGGAAAAATCCTTTTGATACTTGCTCGCACAGACGCAGACAGGAAAGCTCATAATTATGTATTAAATTAAAATGCAAATCCCATGATTTTGCAAACTTGTAGTAGTCTTCGTATGTGAGCAGTTTGGCCGCCTCTTCGGGTCGTAACCGGATCAAATCGTAGAGCGATAGACTCTGGTCAATCATTATCTCTTTTAATTCTTTCGCGAAATCCTTATCATGCAAGAATTTATCAAGTTCCACCGACTTCTCGTACAATTTGAACTTGGAAAAAAATTTCATAATCGTCAAGGCATCGCTTTGATTCAGTTTGTATCCTCCTTTCGTTATAAGGCGCTCGACAACGAACAAAGCGCGAGACGCTAGCAACAATTTAAAATTACCCGGCCAATCATATTCTGAGTTGGATATTTCGGCGAAGTAATCCTCGGTGGGAAAAACGAATTTAGACATATCAGCACCACGATCCAAGAGTACATCGACTGTATCCGGCCAGAGATTCGCCACTGCCCATTGCAGCGGTGTCCGACCCAACTTGTCCCGAGCGTCTATATGGACCAGCTGATTGACTTCGTCATTGATCTTTAAAAAAGACGTTATCCAGTTGTACTGAGTAGTAATTCTATCTGTTTTTCTTTTGCCAAAGACATGAAGAGGCGTCAATCCCTCCTCGTTTGTCAGATTCGGATCTACACCTCGTTCCAACAGCAATTCCATACTATTTTTGTTGCAACGGTAGACAGCTAGATGCAGCGGTGTGTTACCCGATTTATCCCGGGCGTCGAGCTGCAAAGAGAGATGTTCTTCATCAATGATTTTCAAGAAAAATTCAAAAAATGCACGGTTGTAGATTATCATGCTTATGTAGTGCAAAGGTGTAAATCCTATCTTGTTGGGCAAATTTGGATTCGCGCCGTTCCTTAAGAGCACTTCAGTCACTCCGTATTTCGGCTGTGAGTAGTCATGAAACATAGCCACGTGTAGCGGCGAATCACCCGTTTCTTGCACAACGAAATTAGGATCCTGGCCGACTTCGAGAAATTTCTTGACAACGTCGTGAAAGTCATTACGGCAGGCCAGATGAAAGTGTGATAATCCTTGTTCGTTGGTATAGTTCACTTCAAACTTGTTGTAGATTTCAAATAACCTACGGGTGCAAGACTTATAATAGCAATTACGACCTGCAAGATGCACTGGTGTAGTACGATGCAACAATGGCTTGCCGCCTTCACCAATTTCGGGCTCGTCCTTATAACGAGTGCTAATCACAAACTCAATGAATCTTTCTGCTTTATTATTATTCCCTGGTCGTAACAACACGAAAGTTATACAATCCGAGAGAAGATTGTCAATATCTTTTTTTCGAAAAATGTCTCGGAGATTGGGAAGTTGGCCATTCCAATCGCTGATCAGAGGGTCAAGTTGATGTAGAAATTCAATTCGCTCTTTTTCGACCTCCCAATTGATGTTTTCTCGCAAAATTTTCAATTGTTCCAAGGAGTTGTGGTCGTCCTCGTCCATCGTTCTTGCGTTTGCACACAATTTTAGTTACGCGTATAATGTGAGATACTTTTTATGTTTTTCACGAAAACCACTTGCTGCAGTCGATGCTACCTTTTTTCGTCGTTCACGTTGCAACGTCGTAACCTATACTGACTATTCTTATGCGCTACGAACTAAATGAAAGTATTAGAAACACGTATACACTCATGTTTATAGCATACACTCCAATGAAAGTAATGACTCGACGACTCCGACTATGCTTGTGTCGTTTGAGTGAAAGTCGCACGGATTCACGTATGGTAATTCAAGTGCGAGAGAGACAGAGATGCATGACGCTGCAGAGTCGCTGCAACTTCAAATTGACTTTCGCTTATGTTTACTTATTAATACACATCACCAGAATGAGTTTTTCACGGATGCGTTTGCCTAATTTAACATTATAGTCAGGTTTTATTCGGTTGCAAAATCAACAGCTTTGAATTTGATAATGACGAGAATCAGGGGCACTATGATTGGTTCACCATGATGGTCCAACCGCGATTCCTTTAACCCGACCTCTTTTCGTTTGTCGAACATTTTCAGGACAGTAGAAACGGGCGGAAATGCATAAAACTTTAACTCGCTCTAAGAGACTGTAATAAACGCGTCTACTTTCCCCGCCTCTGTATTTCTTTTCCAAGACATAAAGAATCAACATTTTTTATTCAATATGATTAAAAATAAATCGATTGCCGGTACTTCAAACGTCTTGATTATGTTCCAAAATACCTTAGTACGGAGCACAAATTCTGTTATTGCGTGTCGAGCCTGCGTCACTCAGTATCGGCATCGACATTCTGTGTAGAACTAATGTACGATGCATTATTATATCATCCATGGTTATATTATGCAGGTACTAGAT